ACTTTCTCTTTTTGAGAATCATTGCTCTAGCTCATTCATTATGATCGTTCTCGTCGGTTATAAATCGAGCATTTTGTGAAATTAGAGAATTTAATTAGATTCAAATTTCTTCATATCAGTAGTTTATATCGAATGTCGTCATATAAGTATATTAAAACCATATTAAAAGAATAGATAAAAATAAGAATCAATCACAATTTCCTCTTTGATTTATCTGAACGCTTATTCGATCTTTGAATTTTACTCATTCTCTCTTAAATTAATATTTGTTACTTTTCATCTGAATATTCTATATTTTCACGCGCAATATAAGATAATAAATAATTTTTGAATTTCAAAAGAAAAAGTAAAAATATAAAGTGATCTCAAGGAATAAGCTCCTAAAATCTGAAATAAATTGAACAGAATTATATTTTTGCAGGGAATTTGCTGAAAAAAGATGAAAAATATTTTGGAATTATGACTTACCCTCAGTGAAAATTTGGCATTACGCATTGTGAAGTTCATCTTCTAACTCTACTCCAGAGAATCACTTGGTAATGTAAATGGACCACTAAAAACAGCTTTATTTCATTTCTACTCGCATTTAGAGAAAACACAGATTGTTTGCTAGCACGTATAAGTTTCTATGGAAATTAAGATCAGTTCAATAATAATCAATAATAAATTTTTCCACACTGTCTTGCATGCATATTTTGAAATTATGTCCCTGCAATGCAAAATAATGGTTAAAAAATCAAAAGAAGCAGAAGTATTTATCACAAATAATATAGTATTAATAATATAGTGATAATATAAAGTATTTATCACAAGTATTCCATCAGTTTGATTCCTTATATCGATCAAGTTCCAAATTAATTTTGTTATAATAGAATGACAGAAACCATTGTAGGGAAAAAAAAAACGAAAACCAGTAAAGCCATTTTTATTCCGGAATTTATTCCTCTCCAAAAAATTGTCTCATAAAAGTAAAAGTTGAATAAAAAAATAAATTTAGTTGGATCGGTTAAACATTCGAAAAATTTTCGCATAGTTTTGGCATGCAATACACAAAAATATTTACCATTTGTTCCTCGAAAAAATTTTCGAAATATTTGAAATGAAATCTTTCTTTAATTTATAAACAATAAACAATAATAATTAACGCTTTTTGAGGGAAAATTTAGGAAAAATAAGTGAAGGAATTCATTTTAAGCATTTATTGCTATCCACCTATTCTTCCTTTTAATCAAATTACTTATGAAAATATTAAAATTAATTCCTCAAACTTTGGGAAAAATGGCTCAGCGGGTAGCACGGTTTGGAGTGTCGATGCTGAGGTACGATCATTCTAAGGAATAAACCTGTACAAAAATTCGAGTGATGCTGACGACTCACCTGTATTTCTATCGCCAAGGACTCTTTGGCATATTGCTCAATGCGACAAACCAGTGAACGAGTTTAACCGGTAATGGTGAGGACTTTTAAAAAAAAAGAATATGTCAAGAATCAAGAAATGAACTCCGTAGCACCACCGCGTTGAGAGACTCATTTTTAATAAATAGATTCACCGCGTTAAGAGACAAAAATGGAACTCAATGCTTACTCTATATTACTTTCAACCGCTTGATCATCTTCTCGTGATTCTTTAGATTATTCAGAGAAAATGATCATTCATTTAATGCTTGGGATGCTTGGGATTCACCCTCTACTTCTACCCTTAAATAACTCTTTAATGAAAGAATTCACCTTGCTTGCCAGTGGAGTGGAGAGCTAGTGGTCTAAATTAGAAATGATTATTTCAGATGGCATCAAATGAGATTTTAAAATAATGGAAAATTTGCTAATATTTTTTCTAACTCTTTGCAAATAATAGAAATCTCCAAATGTATTATATATAATACAAAGGTGATTTAAAGATTTGAAATTCTCATAAAAATGCACTGGACAATTTTCATTCTGTAGATTCTTTTATTAAGATTCGTTCATAATGTTATGAAAAAAATTTTCATTCAACATTAAAATAAATTTAATTGAGAAGAGAGAAAAATTGAAAATTAATAAAACGATTAATTAATAATTAATTTAATAATTTAATTTAAAGATTCGTTGCTTCTAAGTGAAAAATTTGAAATGCAATTTCTTATATCTCGAATTTTTCAACATTCTTAATATTTTTTAAAAAATTTGAATTCCAATTTTTCTTTCAAATAGTGGCAAACTGAAACAAACGAGTCAGCACTTTCGCTTTACGTTTTTTTCACAAAATAACCAGTCTAAACCAATCAAAAAATGAACAAAATTGAAATAAAATAGGAGTATTTTCTATTGAAGCATTTTGGTTTATCAAGAAAGAAAGTAAAAAAGTGTCACCATTTCGCTGACTCAGCTGGCTCTTACCATGTGAGCTCAAAAAATAAGCAAAACCACAAATTGATATACCATAGGCCAGTAAAAAAAAAGAGCAGAAAGACCGCCAGATTAACGACAGCGAAAATTCTCAACGATCTCTTTCAAGACAACAGCAATATAAATAACGCATATGGCGATAAGTGATTTGTGATTCGTGATACTTATTTTATATGTTCGGCTTTATATAATATAAAAAAAAGTTATGTAAAATGATTTTTCTTTGTAATACCAGTTTGTTTGTATACATGTGGTTATTACTAAAGGTTTAATTACCCACGTTTGAGATGTGCGACGGTACGATATTTTTTTAACGGAAGGGCTAATGAATAGAAGCCACGAAATATAATTTTAACAGATTTTTCGTTTCAAAAAAATTATTTCGAGATAAAAACAAGAGTGAGTCATCAGAATTGTCCCGATTTTTTGATAATAGGCTTATATCTATGGTGCGGAGAAACCGAACTCTTGACTCCCAGCATGTTAGTATAAATCATTGTCCTCTCGGTTACGCCTCTAATTTAATTTATTAAAGGAATTTAAGCTAATTTTTTTAAATATCAATGATGAAAAAAGTGAAATCGAATTTATAATTCTACAATTTAAGTTCAACTATGCCTTATTAAAAAGAAAGAAGATTACTTATCAAAATATGACAAATCCAAAAGCAATGGCATCCAAAAAAATTAATGAATCTAAACCATAAAGCACCAAATTTCACAACTGGATATTCTAATGGAGAACTTACAATGCAAATATCCATTGAAAGTTGAATAATCTTTTTATGGAGGAGTGTTTCAACCATTAGCACCACATTCAAATAGCCTAACGCCATAAACAGCGAATTTTACTGAAAATTGAAAAAAACCGCCTCCCCATAAATAAATGAAAAGAAATTTTCCACCAATTTTTATTTGCTATTTTATTTAATGTTTGCTATTCTTGCTTTTAGACTTCAATTTTTTTTTGAATATGATCAGTCCCAATATCCCAACGGCTTTAATCTCACATTCCTCATATTTTTTCTCTCATGAGTGACATTTGCAAAAATCTTCGAATATTAAATTAATCGAACTACAGAAAAAATAATAATAATTTTAGGAATATTAAAGTTTTAACGACGTTGACGTTAGTTTTATTCCTTATTGAAATAATTGTAAGGCATCTGCAATAAAAAAAAACTATTTTTCCAACAAATATTTCTAAACTAGACTCTCCATTTTCTATGTCGTCATTTACCAATTTTAACTGAACGAATCTTGATCTAGAAATCTAAAATAAATCTAAAATCTTATTGATAAAACTAAGAAATCAATTAGGTCAATATCTTACAGGTACAATTAGAATTTTCTTGCGTGTATTTATTTTGAGGAGGAGAAGAGAGGTAGTGATAACTCAGTGGGTTATTGTTCTCATGGGACCATTCTACTGAAGGTTATTGTTCTACTGAATTTTTGCTACCAGCAGGAAACCAATTTTTTAAAAAATCAGGGTGATGCTGTTCTCTGCCAAGTAAATTTTCCTTAGCAAAATTTTTCTGATCTGAAGTTAGCGAAGAGGATCTATCCCGAAATATTTAACTCTCCAAGGAAAAAAATTTCGATTAAGAGGAATAAAAAAATTGGAAATTCATTTATCTCAGAAAAACTCCTTTATAAGTATAGCATATATTTATATTAACATAATAATAATTAATATATATTTTATCATTTATTATTATTATTACTATCATTATTTTTATTAATATTTATTATTTTTTATTATTTATTATCATTTATCACTATTATTTATTATTATTGTTACATTGTTATTACTATTTTTATTATTATTACCTATTATTATTACCTATCATTTTTATTTTCACAAAATAATGAATTTGAATAATAATTCTGAATTGTTTACTTGAAGTACACTGTGATTAAATTCACATGGAACGATAAATTAATGACGTCATTTGCAACATAACACGCATATCAGATAAAAAATAAATCGAACTTTACTTTTAAGAAATCTTTCCATCACAACTGTAAAACTGTTTAACGAAGCATAATAAAAATATTTTCAAGTATTTGAAATATCGCCTAAAATACCAACACCAAATGCAATATCAATTCTTTTGCTATCTTTAAATGAAGAAATATAGAGATGCCAAGATTTCTGACTTATAAACATGTTTAATGTTAATGAAATTATGTGAGTCGCACGATAGAAGTGCAGTGGTGGCTGAGCTCGAACTGATGGTCCCACAATTAGGGATCATTGCGGCTTCGATGAATGTGGTGCCAGTAGTGGCGAAATCGAATTAAGATGCTTCAAATCGAATTTTTGATTTACGCGGAAATTTTGAATTTAGTAAACTAACAAAAATTTGCGAGGCAATCTGAGGTTATAAATTTTTTTTGCCACGGGAAAGATTAAAAAATAGAACTTATAGAAAATTATCAAGAAAATCCACATTTACAGCTAAATTTATTGTGGTCACACTTTTCCAGCATCAAAGATCCTTAATGCACGTTTATGCATCTTAAATAATGATAAATTAAAGCAAAAAAAAGAAGAAGAAGTGCTACTCCTGAGGTGCGTAAGGTTCTTCGATGAGTAGTGTTCATCTGCTATAATTCATTTTTCCCCTTCCTCGTTTTTGTTTGTGGCTTAGTCTGTTGTGGTACATCATCATCCTCATCTGAAAAAAAAAAACTTTTTTCAGATTCATGAATGTGAATATGCAAACAGTTTATATGAAAACAAGAAATAAATAAATTCGCAAAATAAACCGTCAAGTGATATGGCGCCACTCATGATCTGATCGATCCATGTCTGAAGCACTTCCATATTGCTATCACGATGCTTTTTGGGATCATCAAGATTAACTTGCGACATATCGAACCAAATGCCTTCTTTCTGGAAATTTTTTATTTTGATTCAGTTTTCAAATTAACATTGCCCCACTTTCTTAAGTCAATCATCTATGTGAAATCTTATTTGTTAATTTACATTTTTTTCTATTTTTCATGATATTTGTTTTATTAGAATGCGAATTCGTATTTGATGCAAAAATCATTATATGCCACTGTATTTCATGTATTTATGACGTATTCGATCTTAGAAGAACTCAGCCTTTTGCAGGCTTAGAAATATCACGACACCAAAAGGTACTTAAAAATGAGAACTCGAAGGACAATACTCGCCATCGGCAACAGAATAGGGCCGTATCGCAAAATTTTTTCGCATATCGTTACTATATCATATTCCTTCATTGTGGAAGGTTATTTGACTTGATATAATGTATTATGATTCGAAGATATTATGAGTGATTTAAAAATAGAAAAATGAACTTCTGAGATATCAACTAATCCGAGTTGAGGACCTTCTTCTATGTCGATACCGAACATATCCTCCCATATATCAACCATCAGCGGAAATTCATCTTGAATTATAATTTTATTTACTTAGCTGATAATAGAGGCACTCCAAAGTAAAGAGGGTAAGTAAATGTATATGCTTCTTCTATACTATATTTTACTATGTTTTAGAAGCAATAACAAATAATTATAAAATAAAATGTGAATCAGTGAATCATACAGTGTGGATCATACACACGCTTTAAAAATACGGCCAAGATAAATTTTCAATAGTACTTCAATAGTAGTAAAAATCTTTATCAAAACTATGGATTTAATTAGTTTAATTAATGATAAAAGAAGTTGGTTTTTATGAAATATTTGTGCAATTCCAAAAACTCAAAAAAATTGGACATTTTAAAAAAATCTTTGAAATAAATGGCGATAATGTTTGCTTATAGATTCATAGATAAATTTCCTCTCTTTTCTGGAAAATGGAAAGAATTCTTTCATGAAATCGAGGATCTCTATTAGCATTTATTATTTAATTATAATTTAATTTAAGTTCCAGAGTTCATTTTTTTAAAATGCTAACCTGGATCAATTAAAATAATTTCTAATGTTCCTGCATGTTCGCTGTTTTCGTCTGCAAGTTTTTGTAGAAGATTGAACATAGCTCGACCCTCACGTGTTTCTTCATCACAAAAGGCGACAATCATTCTTTCATCATCGTCAGAATCTTTCTATAATTTAGTTTTTAACTTTCATCTAACAATTTTATACAATAATGTTCAGGAAAAGTGTGATTTCCGCTAATGACGAAAAAATTAGTTGGGAAATGAGCGTGAAAATTATATTTAATAAATATGTTTAATATATTAATAAATATATTTAATTTAATTTAAAATTTATTCATCTTTCTATCTGAGAACATATTCAACATTTTTAATTTTGCTGACTCTATATTTGAATATTTGTGTGAGTTCACTGGGATTTTAGCTTCATTGCTACAGTTTACATTTAAAAAGAGGAATCGAATTTAAGACTCAAACTCTTGATATAAAACATTACATTCAGCCTTAAATTTATGAGAAATTTGACGAAATTTACCCAAACGCTGAAATAATTCGTGAGAGTAAGCTTCTGCATAACAGGCTCTTTGTGTTTTTCAACCCAGTCTTCGAATTCATCTTCAGTGTCGACTGATGTTGGAGCATAAATCGGATCGTCTTCGAATGGGCGATATAGCTGCACTTCGCCAACTCGTTTAAGCCCCATTTTGCGCGCCCACTAAGTCTTTCCATATTATTTTGGAAATATATTCGACAATGAATTCGTGCTATGCATCGCACTACTTATTCATGAAATTAAACGAAATTTGTTGATCAGAAAGTTGGAAAATGAAATTTAAAATTGCAAAGGATAAATTTAGATGATAGATAATGAAGAGTATTGCAAGATGTCGCAAGGTAATAATTGAGATAATAACTGAGACAATAATTGAGAGGAAAAACTTACATACGAAGTTACAACAGCGAAGAATTCAACTTCGCCCATAAAATCTTCAGCAGCTTCTTCATATTCTTTCAATGCTGCAAATTTTATAACGAAGTAAATAGTCAGTTGATTGATTTTTTTTCTCATTTTTCATAAATTTTCAAAAATTAGTCATCAAATTTAATAATCATTTAAAAATTATAGGCTTAAGCAAGAAATTTCAACCCCTGTACTGTAGTTTATTCTGTCTCAATTTTTCCATTAAAGTAAATAAACTGATATCGTTCGTATTCTATAGATTTTATGTGGTACTATAATCTCAAGTGACTCTTTTGACTTTATTAGCCAATGGAACTTGCCAAATTAGGAAAATTCATAGTAGGATGCATAATAATTGTTATTTGCCTTAACTTACCAACACTGCCCGGTTCAAAATATCCGATAATTCGTACTTGCGAGTCTTCTAAAGCATCAAACTGATGTTTATCATATTCGTCGTTTATTATAGTTATCGGATCATCAGGAATCTGTGAAAAGTTTTTTATAGATCATTATAAATGATTTTATAATAGCTCATAACTACCGATATTTTTTGTTCATGTGATTGTGAAGTCAACAAAAGCTTCAACGGAAAAATTCAAATTAAAAGAACTTACATCCATTAACCAGGAGACAAACGTTTCCGGGTCACGAATTCCAAAATATTCAATTTTGTAGCCATCTTTATAAACATGTATCGTATCTTCACCTTTCTCCACTTCTATTACAAAAAATATAGGAATAAATTGATAATTTAGTGAATAATGCTCAACTAACTCAAATATCTGCAAAATTATTTCGCAGAGAATAAAGATGAGTGGAATATTTTATAATTTAAGATGGAAATGCTAATCATGCCTTCCTGTTTCCTTATTTTAGTCTCCTTTGTTGTGTTCACAGTGTAAAAATTGTATCCACGTTTCGTCATAATTTGAGCAGAAAGCTTAAAATTTTTAAAATGAACTGAAAATCAACTACTGAATCTTATTCAGACTACAGATATAGTTGAGGTTTTTCAATGATTAAATGATTTTTCAATGATTTCAATGATTAAAAAGTATTTCCTGGAGTATCAACACCAAAAATCAACATTTATTTGTATTGGCAATCGAAATGCGACCTGCAAGAAGCACTCATATTGGTCAAGTTCTGAGTCGTCTTCTTCGACATCATTGAAAAACACAACAGACTTTGCGTCTGCTGCAAAAATTGTCTTGTTGAAATTCTTTTCAGTCAATACCTACAATCTCAATATACGATAACCTAAATAATATCGTCGAGATTTTTCATATATTGAACCAAACTTAATGATAGAAAGAAATTCAGTCATCTACTGTAACAATGGATTTGTAAATCATTTGAATCATAAATGGATTTTTACTTCATTTTTTTTGAAAGTAATGAAATTTCAATGCAAAATAATGAGATTCAAACGGTATTAAATTTTTCTGATTGTTTTGTTGCTGTTATACCAAATCTTCGAAAAAAATCTCATAAAACATGCAAAATCAAAATTTTTTGTGGTTAAGATCTAAATTTCTATTATTATTTCCAATAATTTCTATTATTATACTGCTGGTAAAAAGCGGTCGCCATCTTTTTCAGATAAATAACATGCTTCCATAGATGAAATTAAATCAACTTAAATCAACTGATAAAGGCTGTCGATAAATGAAATGCATAGATTATCAAATGAAAACAAAAAAGCAAAAAGTGGTAAACCTCTGTTCGATCAAAACCATCGTATTCCAAATCTGGATAGCCCAAAAACATACAATCAAGTTCTTCAGAAAATGATCTGTAGATCGCTATGAGCAAAACTGCTAGTGATGACGACAAAAAATTTTGTCTCATATCCTACAGTGATGCCTTAAATTTTAGAACATAAGTTTTCAGACCGAAAAAAATTTTTATTGATCTTATGATTACAAAATGTCAAATTTTAAACTACTTTTCGAGCAGAAAAATTTTATTTGTAGATAATTGAAAATTGAAGATATTTCTAAGTTCTTCAAATCAGTAATAACGAATTTTTTGGCAGATATTTTTAAAAGAATTTCAATGTTTGAAAAAAATGAAAAGAAGCTAATTTTCTATTTTGTTTTGTAGTTTTAAGCGATTTTTAAACTTTAGCAGAAATTTTAGCAGATAATTAGCAACTGAATTAATATTTTAAAACAATTGGCTTTTAATATTTTATGGGTTTAAATTTTTTAAAACTTTTGTACGCGTTCAGTAATGCGAAAGAATACATAAAACAAATATAATCGCCTAAGGAACAGCAATAATGTGCAATTTTTAATAAATATATATTAATATTCGATATATTTTGGACGACTTCATTTGCATTGCAGCGCCAAGTAATTCTCTAATAATTTCTGCAAGCATAACAACCAGCGAAATGATGAGCACTGATCATTTACTCATTTACATCGTATCGATATCGAAAGCATCGCTTGATGAGATAACTGAGATAACTATGTAAACGGGACTAATTCACAACTAGTAATTCAAGAGATTGATAATGTCAAACAGATGAAACTTTATGATTTACTTGAAAAATCTTTATTAACAATGAATTAAGTAAAACATTCGAAACAAAGACCAAAACAAATGAGATTTCCAAATACGATAACATAGAAATTATGCTTTAAAAGTTAGCAACGGTGCTGTGTGTGCCTCAGTCAATTCTTCATCTATCTGACATTTACCCTAAGTGGAGCCAGTTAAGCCAGAAACGAAAGCATATATATATATATATATATATATATATAATGTATAATATAATTTTTTTCGCGCAAAAATAAAAAAAAGAATGAAACAAAGAAAAATCGACGTCAAAAAGAAATTAAAGAAAGGATGCATCCACAGAAACTTTGTTTTCTTGTGAAGAAATTGAAGATTTAGTTTAGTTTAAAGTCCTGCAGCTGATGATGATGATGATGTTGGCGATGATGGACTCTCTTAATTGCTGAGTGAAGAAAGAAGAAAAGCAAGATTTTTCATTATAGCACAACACCTACACACAAATTTTAGACAAAGTGCGAAAATATCTCGCTTCATATAATTTTTTGCTCGCATTGTCAATCAAACAAGCTTTGGAGATTTTTTATTATCTATTTTATCCAAATACACATTTATCTACTTGGAAAAGAAAGCGAGAAGTTTCTTTTTTAAAGAAAAATATGATTTGCAGTGTAAATGATATAGGTTGGCTTCCACCATTTCTGGTTCAACTGGCTATTAAGTCGTTAAGAATTTTGCTGTAGGCTTCACTTGGCGATAGAAATGGGTTGCCAGTGTTAGCCGGATTTTTAAATGACTGAAGAAATTACTGCTCTTATTTGCTCGTTTCGGAAAGCCAAAGCCTTGCCTAAATCTAAATCACTATCCTAGCCCTTAATGTCTATATGTGAATAATTCAATATGACAACATTCCAAAAGTATTAACATGAACAAAACGCTCACAAGCTTTTTGATTAGTTTATAGATTTTATTTAATATAATTATATTTCTGGACAACTATTATCTTTAATATTTTAGTGAATGGATCCAGTTTTTTTTAAAATTCAATTTAAAAATTTTCTTTCAACATTGTTTCTTCAGTTTATTTTCTTTAAAATTTTTTATTGGTTTAATTCCAAACAAATAATGAACGAGTAATTGTTGAAACGAGTATGTACTGAAAATTTGTTCGATTATTAGATTTTTCTTTTAGAATTTATTAATAGAAGAATAAATAAATGAAGGGATGAAACTCAGACTTAACGCAAGCTTTGTTTAGTGAATCTCGAATGCTTTTTTAAAAACCTGCAAATTATTTGCAAATGAGATATGCAAAAATATGTCTTCATTAGCTGATATTTAACACTATTGAGTTCTTTGAATTGCCGAAATATCCCGATTTCCTTTTTCTTGCGTGGCTTTTAGCAAATCAGTAAACTATTTAGCCGTTCTTTAATAATACAAATTGTATTACAATATGTAAATCTTTATAATGATTAGTTATGATGAGTTTTTTCAATAGACCAGCTGTGTTGAAAGCGACGCTTATATTTTTATGATTTGAAAGTATGTGCTTAGCGCTTACCATCTCTGGTTAAGTTATTTGCGCTGGCTTTATACGACTGCCATTTATCGCTTGTGCTAATTCATTGCTAAATAGAAATGTTATTCCTTTTTTTCTTTCGATTATATTGAAATCGATCACATATGACTAATAATTATAACCAATCTATGTACCATTTCTTATTCCGGATTGAAATTTTAACGGCTTTTACATCTAAAATGCTATTTTTTTCTATAAATAATCAAAATTTGATTTAACTAATTCATCTATTGGCTTATTTTGAAAATGGCATTTACTGAAGGGCGCTCACCATATCTCGTTAGATATTCGCTCGCACAATTTTAAGTGCTCTGATGCTCGATATGATAATAATAATTTAAACAATGACATCTCAGGTACTCTATTATGCAATGATGCATATCGATTTCTTTAAAAATTTGCCATAAAAAAATGAAAGTAATTAGAAAAAAAGAATTGGAATAATTAGAAAAAAAAGAACTTTATTTTAAAAATATTGTAAATAAATATAGCAGAATGAATGTTAATGATATGACGCAATTAATGGCTTTGGTAAAGAAATGATGAATGAACAACTGTAATAGAACAGGATACTAGAATAGAGTACTAGAGTACTAAAATTGTGATAAAATCGAATTAATTTGACCAAAAAAGAGACCATCTATAGTCCAAAAATTTTATAAAATAAATTGAAATTTCACTGCCAGCCAGATAAGGAATTGGATTTTAGGCCGTTTTTTCAATAAAAAATTTTTTTAAATTCATTTTTAAGCAAATTTAATTCTTTTTGAACTTTCGAGATGCTCATCATTTTTTATAACAGGAAGAAGACTTTCCTCGTCGTTTAGTGGTCCTCTAATGGTTAATTTTAATATAGGCTTTTTCTGGATTGAAGTTTCAACGTTTTTTACATCCAGAGTGCAATTTTTTTCTATAAATAAACAAAATTTGATTTAATATATATTTTTGTCGACTGGTTTTTTTTTGAAAACGGCATTTTAAAGAGTGCTTACCATATCAGACTCGCTCGCTGATTTAGTCGGGTCAGACCAAGTTTTATCAGAGAATCACTTGATGATTAGAAAATTGGTAGTAAATAGCACCTCTTAGATAAATGGAAGAAAATTTCATGCCCATCAAGAATATAACCCCAGCATCGGTGTTCCAAAATGAGAGAAACAACAGACTCAGCCATCATATGATTACTTTGTTTATTAATATTTGATATTTAAATTTTTTTTTTATAGGGCTTCTAACACCACAACTGAGTATGTCTAAATTATTGCTGTATGCCTAAAATTAGAGTTTAGTACCTTCATTATGCGATCCCGACGGGATTTTCATCAATAAACCTTCTTGTAATTCATCGTCAATAGATTTACTTCGATGTTCTCGAAGTGTATTTGGCGGATTTATACGATTTTCATCGTTTGCACTGCTAATAACAATGAATCGAGAGGTAGTTCCTTAAGTAACAATATATTTATTTTATTTTTCAAATTATGAATGCAAGGAAATCAGTTTGGACAAAAAGAAAATAGGATTATCTATGAATTTCCGGAAAATTCAAAAGAATTATATAAATATACACATACAGATCTATATAATTTCAACTAAAGCATTCACCCGAGCATATTTTTTCGTGAAATGAAAAATGTAACCTGAATTTTCTGGCAATGCCAGTGTATTTTTTTTTTGTTTTGCTTCATTCATCTCGCCATATGTTTTTCTACGTTTGTTAGCAGGTTTGCAGTATGGATATGTCATATGATAAGCCTCGTTTTCCAGTGCATCAAAATTGCTTAGCTAAATTAAAAATAAGTTCTCTTCATTATGAGAAAAAAGAAATGGTTCAAACGAATTCCGAGGCATATCAATGTCCGCTGAAGTAAGCTTTTCGAATTCCATTTCGAATTTAAGGTTAAACTGCAGCAATAATATACAAAAGATGAGAGTGAAGACGTAAAATGGAATTAAATTAACAAAAATAGCTGTTTCCTCACCTCGTTATTACTCCTTAAATTGTAATTCCGAGGCATATCAATGCCCAATAAATGACGACTATACATTCCATGATTAATTGGCTGAAAAGTTGGTTTTGGTGCTTATTTCTATCAGCAAATTTTATTTTATATTTCATATATTTTCATTATATAAGAAAAATCAAGCTATCAACCCCCCATTTTTCTCGTGATTTGTTGAAAACATTACAAGATACATAAATGGTTATATGGGGAAAGGCAGTACCTTTCATCGCCATTTAACATCAACATTTGGACTTACAGATATTAACACCAAAATAAAACTGAACAATGGAAAGATGATGAAGAGAAAAATCAAACTTACTGATGCACAAGAATTCAGCCGATTTCTAATAAAAGTACTTATTGATTCCTTACGAGGAAGTGATAAATGTATATCTTTAGGTCGACCAGTTCTTTTATACATATTATCAGGCCTAAAAAATAAAAATTTAACACAGCCACAAAGTCAAAAATTACAAATTTAGAAAAAAATGGAGAGACAAACAATAGCAAGAAAAGGTACAGATTTCCAGCATTAGAAGCCAAGGTTTCTGATTGGGCCAAACCTGTTCTACTGCCAAGACTTGGCAAGCCAAGAAAACTACCATGTTGTTTTAGATGCTCTATTGCTTCTTTCACCTAAATATGGTAATATTTTTCTTGAAATTAGTACGTAAAAATGAATAATAAAATTATTCTTTATCTTAAAAGTTCAATAGATCGAAAAAAAAACAAATCATTGGTTTCGTCTTTATAATTTCATTTTGCACAAAATTTTTCGCAAAAGGCTTAATTTAACAGCCATTTGAATCGGTTAAATCCAAAAACAGAATTCTTTTCTGAAATTAAACTTAGAAGAGGAAAAAATAAACTATTTAGGTTCAAAGAATAATTTGAACCATAATGTTACTTGTATATGTTCATTGTAATCAACAAGCATTTCTGCTTTCGTTTTTTGGTCAAACATTAAAAACGGTTGCAAATAAAGTTCTTTCCATTTAACGAACATGCTCCGAAACTAAACTTCATCACAAGTAAAAAATAATTCATTGAACATAATCGAAATATCAAGAATATTTAAAAATCAAGAAATTTACAGCATTAGGCAATATACTTCCACAAACCTGTAGTTTAAGCTCAATGCTTTCACTCAGCCTTATAAAATACAGAGGCAAAGAAGAAGATAAAAATTAGCTTTAAAGATGTTTTTCGAGGATTGAGATTATCTATATATAGCAGATGACCACTAAATTTATATAATAAATTTATATAATAAACGTTAATAATATAAATTTATATAATAAACGTTAATAATATAAAAAATTAACCCTGTAATGACCGCGATGTCCCGTAATTGCTTCGATACCTGCCATTGCTTCATTCAAAAGCTGAAAAATTTGGAACCAGTTTCATCATTTTATGACTGAAGAAAATTCTTCAATCTTTATGCATTTGGATTTGACTGTTTTATTAAAAAAAGAAAAATGAAATTTTAGATATCTTGGGAAAAAAGACATTTTATTGCAAAAAAAACGAACATTTTCTCCGACCATTTCAAAGAGAGTTTTCTTATGAATATTCATGTTTTTTACTTTGAGGAGTTTCACCAACCATTTGATTGTAGTTCCCTTAAAATTGCCATTTTATAGCCTTCCCTTTATTTGTAATAATTGTGATACTATGATAATTAATATTAACACCATCCTTCATGAGAAATCTCACGAAAAAATTACTTGAATAAAAACAGTAAAAAGGATAACTGAAATTGTACATGACGCGAACATATTTTTCGCATTCACGATCTGAAATATTAGTGATGAATACTTACGGTTTGTTGAATTAAATAACTTATTTTACTTGATAATTTTAAAATTTCTGCATATAGTACATAATTTTAAAAATATGGAAAATATTTTTTAAGAAATTAATTTCGTTTAATTTAAAAAAGGAATACTAAGGATGACAGTTTTTGAAAAGACTAATCAGGAAGACAGATAGAAAAAGCAAAATGTCCGTAGGAAATTTCAGGAAATTGATAAGGTGGGCCATGGAGCAATAAAAATTAAAAAACTCTGGTTTAAAGAAATTAATAAGTTTTTTACTTATCTTTTTTCTATTATTTTTTACATACTATTTCTTAATTTCTTCATAAATTTTTTTTTCATTCATAAATACATATAAAGGAACCATGTGAGGAAAACAGGATAGCCAGTCGAAAAACATACCTCACGATTAATAGACATAACAAGGCCATAGCAAACTGCGCCTCGAAGACCACCATAACTCATAATAAACTGGTCAACAACATCGATTTTGTGTATTCTTTTAGTATTTAAAAGCCATGTTAGAGCGAACACTCCTGTAGATGCCAACAATATATGTTTGTCTTGTGTAGATAAAGGTGGTTTCTCACACAGAATTAGGTCTGAACATCAAGGACCACAAAGATGAACAAAATCTGATTCAATATCGCATCTAGCTACTAATTCTTAGCCAAATTAACCAAATGAAGTCGATTAATCGTAAGAGCGAAAATATATAAGAAAAAAAAGAATATCTAAGAATGCTCAATTTTTTTTAGTGAAAAAGATCATAATACAGATCATAATAAGATCATAATAAAAATGATAGGTCTTAAATGTTGGTTTTAAAAAAATATGGAAGGAAAAAATTTGCCAAAAATAAAAAATTTCGCAGTAGGACTTACATAAGAGCAACTTGGCAATTTCATTACAATAAAAAGCTTGTTATAGTCTTTTTGTTCTATAATGGGTCAAATAAGCCAAAATTATTGTATTGTATAAATCAATTCGCAAGCGTTCATAAACAATTCAAGAAAATTTTGTAGCTCTTAAAGGATACGCTGTGCTTGGCATAAGTCAAAATGATAAGCGACAAATTTCATTTAGTTAAACCAATGAATTCTCACCGATGAACCGTTGAAGAAGGCAGCTAAGTATTGTTACAGAAATAAATAAAAGATCCCAATCATGATTTTTTGAAACTGCTGAAATTCCGAGATAGACGAATATTAATGCTTCGCAACTGTAAACTTCACGATTGCAAAAAATAATCGCTAAAATGGTGATAAGAAATAATCAAAACTTTTCAAAACAATCAAAATTTTCCAAAACTTTGTTATATTTATTTATTCATTATGACATAATTTTAATTTATTACGACTTTGGGCCTTGATTTTATTCGGTTCAAATATAAAACCTGGATGACAATGTTTTCATGAAATATTGTACTGTAACAAGTGATTTTCTCGAAAGGTTTCCTACCAAAAACTGTTTCATCACAACTCCACAAATCATTATCCTGGAAAATTCATTAATATCTCAATTGTCTTTTACCAACTTGCTTAAATGATACTAGTTCATAGCAATGAGCATACGCTAATATTCCAGACATTGATACCATTTCCGAAGTAAGATAGGCAAGATATGGAAATAATAAACAAATCAGCGGCTGAACAACATTTAAATGTCTAGCATATCTGAAAAGTTATGAAAATCCTGACGATAATAAGAAAGAAAAAAGTAATAAAGAAGGAAATTGAAAGGAAAATGTAGGATGAATCGGTACACATAAGGGATTAGATTAGGTTATATAAATAAATTTAAGGAACATTATGAAATATATTAATAGAACCATATATTTATGACATGTAATATGTAATATCATAAATTTAATCCAGAAATTCATCTAGAAAAACTGGATTTGTGAATAAAAAATTTCCAATTATTGAGACCGAGTAAGAGCTTTTATCGACACTTAAATGGTCATATTTAAAAAAATTTAATGGAAAGCAAAAAGTAAACAAAAACAATGATGGTTTTTTACTTGGTTGTAAAACCAGTGATCAAAGCCCATGCAATTCCGATAAGAATGCCGCCGAATGATACAATAAAAAATGAAGCACCTGCCTTGCAGTAATCCACTGTGCTAAGATTATCAACTTCAACCATGACACTGAACGTTTGGTATAAAACCTGAAATTCGCAAGCACTGATAAATAAATTTGTCAATAAAGTGCAAATATTAATAAGACAAATGCAAATAGTAGTATGTCAAAGCAAATTTCTAGTAATTCCATGATTCATTCTTCTAACAGCATTCACCACCTCTATTTCGACTGAATACAGCATTCTAGCGAATTCTCAGCACAGCTAATTTCTCAGTAATTTCATTCATTTGCATTCGGTCTTTTTACCATCGAGAGCGAATAATAAAAATCATTTATATTTCTCTTTTCTTTGAAATTAAATTAGATTGGTAAAATCTAATATTAGTAAAATCTCCTTTGTATTTCATGATAAAGGCACTGAAATTTGAAAGATATCGTACCAATAAATATTGAAATATTAGAAAAGCAAATCCACCGACTTACGATAGTGACAGCATCGTTAAGCAGAGATTCACCAAATACACATATATATAATAGTTGATTAACATGAATTTCTTCGAAAACACATAAAACTGCAACGGGATCAACCGCTGAGATTAGAGTTGAGAAAAGTAAAAGTTCCATAGGTGTCGATTTTACTTTGAAATATTTGGACAAAAGAATTAAAGTTCCACCTAAAATATTATTTCATCGTCTAATTTCTTATTTTTTTTCAGTAGTATTCATTTAATTACTCATTAATTAATGCTTATTTTATTGCTGCAGGCAAATCATCGAAAAATTGATGCAGCCAACCCATTTGCCATGTGACTTTCTGGCAAAGATTTTTAAAGGTAGAAATTGGCGAGGGCCAATTATTTTACTTAATTTTATCCACTTGCTCATGCATTTTGCCGATAAAAAGAATAAATGACTCTGATGGAAAGCATCATTTTTCTAACTTTTTGTTTTCAATTTTTATAAGGTCATAGCGATGTTCATTTATAATTCCAACAATAAAACTATGTGCTTCATTCATTTATATGCTTTGATAGAATAACTAACCAATAGAAAAAGTATTATAAAGAGTTCCTATTACTGCATATGTTAAAATTGTTCCAATGTTTCTGAAAAACTAATTACAATTATTAACATAGAAATTCATTATATCTTGCTAAGAGGCATTTATTAATACGTCGACTTAAAAATATCTGACGAAATTTTCTATTTGCTTATTTTTTAAATTATAAATTTATATTTATTCATAGGAATTGATCTATTTATAATTAACCATGAACAATGAATGTTCATTTTAAATCAACTTTACCTAAAAAAATCACCGTTTGGTAAAAAATAACCGGCATCTAATACAATCGGTGGCAAAAGATAAAGGAAAAACCAATCTGGTTTCAAATAAACCTGCAATATATATACACGTTTACTTTTTATCAGTTAATAGCGATTCAATGAAGCTAACTGCAAAAAACCGTAATCAATATGCAGCAAAGGAAATATTTTTTGGAAGAAAACTTTTGTCACAAGTTACAATGAAGAAACTACGGTTTCTCTTGATTAAAAGAGTAATCACGAAATTTTTCTTTGCAAATTATCATTTTGGTGGAATGATAATACTTACTTCATCTGGATAAATTATACTGAAAATATAACCAAAAATAAGCCCAAGGACTATGAGCAGTGCAGAATCCGGAAATAAATTATGCACAGAACGAAATCGATGAAAAACTGAAAATGAATGAAAATCTACTGCAAAAAGCTAAAATAAGAATCAAACACAGGTTGTCCATGCAACTATGTAAGCTTATTGGTAAAAGTATAGCCACAATTTAATTAGTTAATTATTTTTTCTGAATTTTGTGAATAATTCCTCATATCATATATGACATTAAGCAATTTTTAATAAGAATCATCATTAAATTTGGAATTCATAATTAGAAATTGATAAAAAAAATGAGAAACTTACCTATTTTGACTACTGTAACAATTAGGAACCAAAGAGCAATGGTGAGAGGTGCACTAACATGTTCATAATGAGTGTTAAATAATAATATTCCAGAATGCTTATGGGTGCTTTCGACACGTTGATCTGTAGTTTTGCTTGTTCCATCGTCCTTCAAAAAATATCAGCCGGTAAAGCATTAACCTGTAGTAACTTACTGACAAAAACTTTGCTATAATTTAAAAAAAATTGAAAAGTTCATTTTTCCTTAAATTAAAAGTTTATATCACATTTTCCTTAAAAATTTGCTGAAATTGAGAAAAATATTCTGAGCAACATCTTTAAAAAGCCAGAAAAATCTAATATTCACTTTGGCATCAAAAATAGCTTGAAAATTGAAAATATATAATATCTTACATGTAAATTTAATGGGTCGAAATTGTCCAATGGATGCGTTTTTGCCAGATAAAAATTTAAAAAATTCAAAGCAAAAATATAAAATTTTCGAAAACAATAAGTAATCGACATATATACTTATAAAAAATTATAAGTTGCTGAAACCATTTCTGATAAAACTTTTTTTTCATCACATTCATAAATCTGTGACGAGCAAGTAATTAACGATGAATTTCAGTTAGAAAATCGCTAAAATCGCTGAAAGGTTCAAAGCTACAATAGAAGCTATATTAGGCAAAAGTTTTAAAATCATCGAAGAGCAGAAAAAAACAATCGGATTAACAATATATTAATTCGGAAAACAATTAATAAAAAAAATCAATCAAATATTAAATAAAAATATAAGTACTATAAGATCCTTATAAACCCTTAGGTAGGGCATTTTTCAGTTAGACTCGCTCCGTTGGCATGTCGGATTAGTTTTGCCAGGGAATCCCTTGGCTATAAAAGTGCAAGGACTACTGCATTCAAATTTTTAAAAGATATATTTCCTTTTTTGCTGATGGAAATAGAGCTACAATATTAGCGCTCCGAAATGAGAGCCACAATACAGGCCAATGTACCCCAATGTACCCAATACTATTATTGTTGTTAATATTATTATTATTTATTTTTGTTATCATCTATTGATATTATTTAATATTACTACTATTATGTAATATTTATTATATGATTTTGGTCATGCAGTTATTATTTTTTAATAAAAAATATTTCTCACATGTTAAGCAATTGAAATTCTACTTTCTTCCAAAATGTGTAATAAATGTGTAAAATGTGTAAAACAAATCATAGATAGTGAAATTAGAAAACGACATGACCAATAAAAATGATTACCAAAACGACACGCCAATCCAACTAAAATATTTTCGAATAGCTAAAATTCTTCAATTTTATAGGTGGAATAATATTTATGTGAAGAATTTAAAAAATCCTAATATGTCGCTTGGGATAGAACGGATCAGTGGGTTGTTGTAGGCATTTCGGAGCGATTATGATGGAGATCGTCACTCGGCGCTTCAGGCTTTCCTTCTTGCATCATCTATCCTTTAACGAATCTTCACATTTAAATGTGCGAACAAAATAAATATTTAAATACCATATGAAATAAACAAAAACTGAAAGAAACTAATATAGCTTATCGCTTAGAATTAACAAAATAACAAAATAACAAATAACAAAAAATGATGCAATTTTGGGTAAAAATTTCCGAAGATCGAGTCCTTATTTACCATTTATCATGCAAACAATGATGCTCCCGTCAATATATCGATTGATAATATTGATAATAAACTCAAGTCTCGCGAACTACAAAGCTGTAATTCTGATTTACGAGTGCATAATGCTGTAAAATACATTCTATAAATCGACCGTTGCAGAAAAAGTAGAAGCTAATAAAATTTTAAAGCTCTCATGAAAAAATCGATTCAAAGCACGAACAATATAGTAAATAAATAGTAAAGTGTAAAAATGCTGAAAGCGTGAGGAAGTAAGATACGACAAATTAGAAATAACATAACTTCAGCTGTTGAATTTAGTTAAAGTCAATAAGAAACAAATCAAAATCCAGAAAATTTCACTCAAACGTCAACAAATAAAAAATTTAAACCTATGATTTACTTCATACACTTTTTTTTCATTTGCATATTTCTAGAATATTATATATTCTAACAAACGATCGCCGACTAATTAAAATCCTTCTTCGAATGGCACTCACCATTTCTGGTTTAGTTGACTCCATTAAAAAATAGGAAGATGTTTTCATGAAAACGGTCATAGAGTCAATCAAGCCATTTCGGAATAAAATTTAATTAAAATGGAATGAGAACGAGAATTTGTGCATAAAGAATAAAGGATTTATGCTTGGAACTTAGAGAATTAATAAATTAATTTTTCATTCCTTTTCATTTAATATTAAATCGCACAACATTTGTGCTGAAAGTAATAAAAGCAAAATTTTTCCATAAGAACAAAATTATAAATTAAAATAATAAATTTGTTTGCGAATTTTCTAATAGTTGAATATTCATGGAAAAAATAGCGACTATTTTTAATAAATAAGCCTATTTCATTGCCGATTTTGACTAATCAATTTCACCACATAAGCTGAACTAGGATAGAAAGTTTGAATTCATAAATATTATTTTATATTTTGAGATTTAAAAATATAGAATCGTCTTCTAATGAAGAATTCGTTAAATATGATCGCGATGTATATGGAGTTCATTTTGTCACTTCGTATATAATACGCCAGGCTTGATAGGCAGAGTGCTTGTTACTAAGTGGTAATTATTTTCTTGTGCGTCAGCGGTTCGGATTCTGTTTCCCACAGAATTAAAATTATCATTGAAAAATAATGGTGCCGTTCACGACCTACCTATTGCCTTCCTAGTAAAAATTTCTAATCAGCCCTTGCAGTGAGGCTAACCGATAATAATCGATCAGAAGCAACGAGCGTTAACCATTTGTTTACTTACTTAAATGCTTAAATACGAAAAAGAGAGCAAAATTATGTAAAAGAAAAAGACATTTTATGTTATATTTTATATTTAAATTTTATATTAGAATTTTATCTCATTATCAAATTTTTTATACGATTTTGAAAAAATCTTAATAGATCGGTTATCATTTTGTTTCTTTCTCTTCTAATAAGTCGCAGCATTACTGGGTAGGCTGATCTCGCTGCAGTAGATCGGCTGTACTACAACATATTATGCATCAAATAGATATGACTTTTGTAAGCCAATAAAAACTATCACCATAATGAAAAGCAATTAAAAATGAATCAAAAGATAAAAAATAAGATTTCAATCAATTCTGCATGTTCAGCGAAATTATGAACGATAAACTTTTCATAAAATTTGTATTGTTTAAATTTGCATCAAATTTGGATGAATAAATAATTATTGGCTTATAATAAAAGTAAAGCGAAATTTATTGTTATTTATTGTTTCATCATTTAACTGAAGTATCTCTGAACAATTTTCGCTTTTTTGAAATTCATCGCATAAAATTCTAACAATTTTCCATGCATTTTGACGATACCCATAAAGATAAAGGCAGTACTGTAATCTCGTTAATAAATCCTTTAAATAATGAATCACAAAAAATTTGTTCGGTTTACAATGGTTTCAAAACTGGCTTGACTGGCTGAAATTCTGGTTTTTCTTCTATGTTAAAGAGTTCGCTTGGAAATGGAAATATGGATGAATCCACAGCACATTTTATTTTTAAAGACACGTCTCCTCTTATTAAGGATCAATAATAGAATCCATGATGTTTGCCTTCAGTGGAAGTTATGTACCTTTGCTTTTTTGAACGAGAATAACCTTATGAATAGATAAATTCTACCAATTTTATTAAAATGCAAAAATTATAAGCCCTTCTGCTTCATGCCTTAAAAAATATATTCAGGCATCTCACAGATATTTTATTAATTATGGAAATTTATCCATATATTTAGCAAAACTGACATGTAAGAAACTTTAAGAATCCAGAATAACAATAAGAGATTTTTAGAAAAAAAAAATTTTAGAATTCAAACAAATTTATGCCATTTCAATTCGTGCTTATAACAAACAAATAAATTGTATAGGGAATATTGGTCCTTTGACACGGACAAAAGGCTTTCTTGTTAAATAATATAAATTCGAATTTTCGACAATAAATGGAAAAATTCGCCGTCAAATTTTCGTTATAAAAATTTTCCTAATGGGAATTTAATTATTTAATGGAAATGATAAAAGTCATAACAAAAAAATAAACGTGTCAAAAATATGTCAAATTATAGCCAAATTACCATTTCTATCTGGCATTTTTTGCAAATTGTAATAATACTTTTGAATAAATTGCCATTTTATTAATCTAAATTGGATGATGTTTTTGCAACAAAAACTTGTGAACAGTTTTCTTGAGCAATTCTGGATTCTGTCTCTTAAATGTAAGGAAAAGTTATTAAGCCTTAAAGCTTAGATAAATAAGCAAATGTTAGCCCTTATTATTTCTGGTTAGGCTAGCTTCATTCGTTGTAAGCACGATTAGAAATATAGAAATAAATGGAATCGTTTGGATAAAAATAAAGGTGAGTCAGCAAATTGGCCTCTCAACACGATAGTCTACGCTAGCATTACCCTTTTAGCCTTAGATGAAAACGATTTAATGGATTTTATAGGAAATAGATTTACATTTCAGTGGCTTGGCTTTTTTGCACACACCGTGCAGTTAATGTAATATAAATATAGATCAAATATAAATTCTTCACGGACACACTATATATCGAATATTTATGGTTCGTCTTTCACCCCTTTCATTCTGAATCAACACAAAAAATTTTATTAAAAATATTTCAAAAGATCTTATTGTGTGAAGCCATGAATATTGGAGGAGGTATAAATAACAAATCTTTATTTGTAATGTTTGTATTCCTCTCCTCTAATTACAATTATTTTAAATCTATTTTTTTCTTCTCATTCCTTTCATGGATCTTTGAGAAATAAGACTAATTTTAAAGCCACATAAACTGATTCAGAAAAGAATATGAGAAGGGAAGTGCTGAGGTGGAGGAAGGCGAGGCAAGTGAGGTTAAGGAAATTAAGTTCACCTAAGGCTTAGGAAATAAAAGAGATATGCATGCAAAATTTTAAGTTAGAAGGGAATTTATAGAAAACAAATTATAACAATTATAATTAAAAATAATTATGAGCAAAAATGGATTAACGTGATATTTCAAACTTATTCTAAGCAAATGACAATAGTTATATAGCGAGTCATTTCAAATAAAAAAATGTTACCAACAAAAATGATTATCCTGATATTCCACTACTTATAATATTTTTTAGCACGATACGTTATCAGTAATTTGAACTATCATAACGATGCTTTTGCAATGAGTTCCAATCACTATCACAATCATTAAATAATTTGGACTTAGCTTTCAAATGTATGTAGGCTGGCAACTTGCTCGACTAAAGATATGCCATAGGTACGAATTGCCGTTTCTCAGTAGAAATAAATCTGTCATTTAAAATGAAATCCGAGTAGTCTTAGTGTCACTCACTTAGACATTCCTTCTCTCTGATCAATATCAATATCATTCTAACAGTCGAATCAGAAATGGTGAATACTGTTAAAAGGAAAAGAAACTTTGAAATAATGCGAAATTTGATCGGAATAGTCAGATCTAATAAAATGGTTTTAAAAACAGATTAACAAAAAATTATCCAAATAATTTTCAAAGGGATAGAATAGCTCAGCGGATTGTAGCTCAATTCGGAACGTTGATGCTGAAGTCATATTCCGCGAAGAAGTAAAGCCGTCCAGAAATCCAAGCTGAAAATTCACCTGTTCTATCGCCAAAGGACTCCTTGTCCAGTGCGGTAAGCCAGTGGAGCGAGTTTAACCAGTAATGGTGAGGACTTTCTAAAAAAAGAATAATTCTGAAGTGTCTTTAGAAAGGTTATTTTTTTCAGTACCCATTTCATTTTTTTTTCTATTTTAATTAAAAACGCACGAGAAATTTTTTTCAACAACATTCACCATTATTGGTTTGGTTCGACTCACAATTATTAAGAAATCGAAGATGTAATTGAAAGAACTGAAAGATAGCTCGGTCATCGGCACCACACGAGCTTCTTTTTTAATGTCATTGTTTCTGTGAAAAATACTATGAAAAATAAGTTTAGAAGCATAAATTTACAATTTCAGATATTATTTTACAAATTTGTGGCTTCCTCTTCGTAATTAATGAGCTAAAGTTATGGTTCTCATATTGCGAGAATTTTATTCTTGATACATTTATTAAAATATATATTTTCCATATATTTTTATATGATTTTCGTAATTAAATATATATTTTGAATCAATTTCGCATACAATTTCTGCGAAGAAAAACATCATTCTTTATTCACATGTCTGAGTCACCAGCAGATCATTTAAGTAGGCCTTAGTTTAAAATGGATTTTTTTATGAGCCTCAATCAGCTGCATATTCATCAATAGCTAACGTAAATTATAACGTTAGAAACGACTTTTAAGGTTTAAAAATAATTGTGATCTAAACTTATATTCTATGTTATATTCAGGACAGAGATAATCCAGTAGTATGGTTTCTTTGGTTGTCTGAAGGCGTCAGAAGCAAATCTGTTACAGTTCGAATAATGGTGGCATCTCACCTATACTTATATCGACGTGTGTAAATTTTTCCAGCTAGCGGAGCTAACTTAACCAGAAATGGTGAATGCTAACCGATGAATTATTTAATTATTTGTATATTCTATACAAAAATAAAAAAAAATAATTTAATCAACATCGAATAAACAATCACCCAGTAACATATTTCAAAAATTTTTAACGAAAAAAAATTAGATTCTGAACATTTTTCAAGATAAGTGGACAAAAAGGAAGAAATTGGTTGGTTGCAAGTATGGTTGCAATAAGTTAAATTAAATTCTTTGGCATACAGTTCAATTTCTAATTTGCCGATTCGATTTTCATATGTCAATCGCAAGCGACAAGAATAAATCTATTCGGTGAACTAATGGTAAAATTAGGAGTAAAAATTCTGAAATTTTTAATTTTTTGATTTATAAAAAAATTTTGGTGGAAACAGAGAACTAAAAATTGTTTTATTTTTATACTTTAACACTTTTAAATATATATTTGAATTTGCACTCTTTCAATGAAAAACAAAAAACGCCCCGAATAAAGAAATGAAGAAGAAATGATAGCTGCATGAAAGCGTGCAACTCCTGCTATACACTTATAATACTTGATTATATTACAGTATAATATACTAAAGAGTTAAACATATTGCATCGAATTTTAAAGTGATCCATCCATCCATCCATCCATCCATTGACGAGATCAAAGCTGTCATTAAAAAGGTTCACATAAGGTCTATGAGACAAATATTGCTAAAGCAATCAGTTTAAATTCTACTGGACCAACGAAGTAATGATCAAGCTGAATAAATAAAGTAAAATAGATTTATACCTTTTCATTAAAGTTTGTTAATTGAAATATATATATAATATATTAAGAAATATGTGATGTTTGGATAACGAGAGACGATGAAATGCGAAATAATTCGCATTTAAAAAAAAAACCATGGAAACGGAAATTAAGAGAAATCTTGGTTTCACGCATCGATGAAATAATTTTAGAATTTTCAAAGAAATTAATTACATTTGCAGAAATCAATTAATTAATTACATTTTATAATAAATTCAAAAATCAAATGCCCAAAAATGTGCAAAAAGCGAACATCGCAAATAAATAGCAAAGATAGCGAAAAGGAGCGCATTAAATTACGCAATACATTCTGCCAATTTTTTGCGAACAAAGAGGTTCATTATATTTTGAAATTTGCAGTGTACGTCAAAATTTGTGACTTTTTGACCGCTAATGGGAATAAAATATCCTCAAAAATGAAGTGCTGCGGGTCCACAAAATATTGCACGAAATCTAAAAGAACCACGCGTTCAATTTATAAGAAAAATTGAAAAATACTAAAACTTATTTTGAACTACTGACATTTGGCTTAAACATTTCAATTATTTTTCTTACTTACGAACAATAACTTTTTCTTCAATAGTTTACTTCATTCTTCAGTAAATAAAGATAAAAATAAAGATTATAGTGCTGGATTAGAATATATCAATCACTAAAGGTGAATGGCCGAGTGGTGCATAGCTTAGACTACCAGCATCATACTTCATCTCGTGCCGATGCAGTACCCCATCATTAAAGACTCGGTAGTGCTGGAGATTCATCATCACTTTTGTCCTAATGTCCTAGAGTCGCTAGTGTCGCATCCTAAAAGCCAGTGGAACAATCTGAACCAGAAATGGTGATTGCTGTAGACAAAAAAGTAGTATAGAACGAAAGATTTAGAGAAACAATACGCACGAAACACAGACTGATAAAAATGTTTTATAGGAAATAATTTTATTGTCAAACCAACAAACAAATAACAATTCGAAGAAAAAAATCATTTTCAAACAATTTTTACATTTACTATGTGCAAGCAAGAAATTTTCACTTGAATTTCAATTTTATTTCGATGAAATTGTTTAAATAATAATTTTATTATCGTCGTAAAAGCTTGCAATTAAACTGCGAAAACCATATATCAAATCTGGAAAATCCAAGGAACATCGCTGAACCTCCATGGATAATGATGTTGGCTGAAGTGCTATATAAAATTAATATTAATGAAATGTCCTTCTATAAATGAACTATTAAAGGAGGCTCTAATGAACTATTAGATTTGAAATGCAACAAAAATGCACAAATTAATTATTCCAATTGAATTCAAGAGTAATTATAGGTAAATATGTTGAAGGATTTTCATATTTCCAAATTAAAAAATTTATCAACTTGTCTAAAAGATTCATGCAAAGCTAAACGAAGGATGGTTCGGATGGTTTATTCCCTATATTATCAGATGAAACGACTCGATCACGGCGATTTTTGATGCTAAAATTCTTGATGCTAAAATCCTGGTTATCTGAAGATTCAATATCCAAAAGACCATCTCATATATAAGTTTTCTTGCTCCTTTTTTTTCTTGTGTTCTTGTGTTCAGAGATCTTCCAGTAAAAGGTACTTCTAAATCTTTTCTAGATCCAAATCTATTCTATAGTGTTGCCACATCTTAATCGTTGATTCTCAATTGAGATTTATATCTATATATTTGTTCTTATTCGTTACTTGCATGTTACAGTTTTTTTTTGAGGGTCCTCACCATTACTGGTTAAAGCCGCTCCACTGGCTTGTCGCATTGAACAAATATGCCAAGAAGTCCCTTGGCGATGGAAGTACAGGTAAGTCGCCAACAGCATCACTAGGATTTTTGCACAGGTTTACTGCTGCAGGGAATCGAATCCCAGCATCGGCGCGAATTTAGCAAAAACCCACTGAGCCATTCAATTCCTAACCCTACTTGCATGTTATATACAATTTAATAATGGTGAAAATAACTCATAATCGAAGTCACAGAATAAATGTTATATGCCATCTTGCTGTATTATACCGTCGCATTGAATCCTACTTTGTACTGTTACTGCATGCACTATAGTGAAGTGAACTCAAACTCAAACAAATCTCACTTTAATGAACTCAAACAAGACTGAATGATTCTACTGAATGACCTTTGTGGTCAGTGGAGTAGCCAGCCCAGCTAGTAGTGTAACCAGATCAGGAAGTTTAGAAATGTCTTATTCCAGTGGTCAATAGAGTTAGAAAAACCAAAGTAGCGCAGAACCTTTTTAGAAAAAGGTGGTAAAAACGAGTTAAGCGGTAGTTTCGTGGGCAAATATCTGAAGGAGTTTCTAAAATCTCAGCCGAATTGTTTAGATTTCCTTTCCACATAGAGTCCCTCTAGTGTCCATTTCCATGTCCATTGATAATTAGGTGATTCCTTCGCCACGCTCACTCTCGCCAAGAGGTTCCACGCTCAACCAAAGCAGTATACCACTTAAGCGTCACATCGCACTTGTCAAAAATAATTCGGCAACAATAATTCCACCACCATACTTTTCCGTTTTCGTTTCATTTATGCCGTTAATCTGGTTATCGATGAATACGAACAATACATTTCTCTTTATGAAATTTCTTCTCCCTAAGCATTAATTTCGGATTTATTATCTCAAAATGTAATCCCCTAGGCGATTAATCCAAATTAATTCACCAAGCATTAAAAATAAATACATGAACCTTTTTAAAATGTGTGTAAATCCCTTTAGTAAATGATCACCGCCCATCAAATTTAGGTCTATACCAAGAAAAAATTTAAGACTGCGATAGTTTTTCACCACTAACAATCAGATGCGGACTTGGTATTTTTGAAATCTGCTTTAAAAGTTGGCAGAGTAGATGGTTTATTTCACATAAACTAGAGCGAAATCCGTTGGAGCAATAGTTATAAGATATGAAGGAATATAGGGGGTGAAAATAGATAAGCAGTTAAATTTCTGGTCAACATTTCTCATTCCTCTGTCTAGACAGTATCGCGAGGATTCCCTTTTACCAGAGAATTATGTGGTTCTTCAGCACCAGGTTTTTAATTTTAAGTTTATTCTTGTCGAAGGCAGAGTTGAAATATTGGTCCATGAGACGACAGCCTGAGTAACATCCGTTTGGTTATCATGCTTCGCATGGATTTGATGAGGAAATAATGAAATTAGGGGGAAAGACCACTTAATTTGGATTAGATAACCAAAAAATAGTCGTATTTATATTTAAACAATCACATTTGCATTTTCGGAAGTTTTATTTATTGTTTATTTAAGTGTAATAAATGCTGGCAAATCCTCGGGGAAATTTAACGAGTAGCAAGGATGTTTTGATGGCAACAAAATCGCCAACAACATCAACTGAACAATTTCGAAACACAACGAGTAATCAAACGGGTCAAACAATTTCGCCAAATTTTCTTTTTGGCTCGAATAGGAAAACAAAAACCAATGCAATCAGCACTTCGGTTACAGGTTAATAATTTTTTATGTCATAAGAATTACTCAATTTGATATGATTCTTTGCAAAATTGAGAGTGGAAAAAAAATAAAAATTGGGAGTATTACGAGATAGTTTTATTCCATTATCGTTTAGCACGAAATTTCGGAAATTTATCAATTCATTTAGGCACTCCTCAGCGCGGAGAAAAGCAAAATTTACAAGGCAACGTGAATATATTCTCACCTGCTGCATCTCAATTAAATAGTTAACTATTTTATCATTCATTTTTCCTATAAAAGTAGTAATTTGGTGAGTGAGATTGATGTGATTAAGGTGGATATATATTATTTGCAGCATCTGCAGTTAGCTGTAAATCCGTTCATTGGTCACCGACACTAACCAGTGAAAGGGTGAAGCATAAAATTTCGACTTTCAGCTCAGGTTTATAAATTTTTTTAATCAGTTCTTTTTTAAATAAATTTCAGGTTGAAAGTCCCTATATTTGATTTCTCATCGTTCTTTTATGACTTCAATTTAAATAGTCACATTTACTTTCTTGAATTTGTTGCATTTTTTAAATTTTATTTGAAGAAATTTTTATAACTTTATGGTTTTTTTAAATTTTTGTGTTTTAAATTTTTCTTAAGTTTTTCTCCTTATTCTTTATTCTTATCTCCTTATTCTTTTTTTTAAGGCCCTCCACTGCGTTCTCTAAGAGAAGAAGTAAAGTCTACGAATGTTATTCTGGCTGGTATTAATCAAACTACCTTTGAAACTGATGAAGTTGTTCCGGTCGAGCAGTAAGTTTTTTATATATACCAGGAATATCAATTTTTAATCAATAGTGTATAGAAGTGCGAATTACGAGGAAGAGATGATTTTTATTTCATCTTCATTTATTTTCAACAAGCAAAATTTTATTGTGTACCAGTTTATGGAAAAAATCCTAAAAATTTCTTTTTTAAATGAAAACATTAATATTTTTGCGACATTATGAAAATTAATTATGAAAATTTAGAATGTTTGATACGGCTGGTAATTGGGTTACAATTTTTGGTTTCCCTTCTGAAGATGCATCTGATGTCCTCAAATATTTTGGTCGTCACGGCGCAATTGTATCTCACCGGGTATAAATTTTATAAATATTATGAATAAAATATGTTTTTGTTTTTCAAAGAAATGAGGTATGGATTGTTCCAAAAAAAAATATGTCCAATATAGAATTTAAGGTGTTTTTGATCATATCCATATCGATTCTCATCATCAAAGTTCCCTAAAAAATATTCTATGAAATTGATTTAAAGAAAAATTTTTTGAGTTTCCTAAGAAAGGCAACTGGGTGCACGTCCGTTATGCGACTGCAGTGCATGCTCAGCAAGCGTTGACATACAATGGGCGAATTTTTGGTGGTAAGCTAAAGCTCGGTGTTGTTCCAACGGATAGTAAAGTTTGCTTTTTTTTATGTATTTATTGATTTAGAATTGAATTTTTGCGGCCTATAGATTTTATTTTCATTTCCATGAACTTTTTTCTATGTTTTATGATTATAATTATAATTTTTGAGCGCTGTGATAAGTGGTAATGCTTTTCTGGTGGAGTTTTAATTGAAATATTGGTCGCTCTTCATTGAATTTTTTAAAATCTTGTGTGAATATTCATTGAATTGAATTAAATTGAAATTGAAGGAATCGGTAGATCTGGAATCTTCCGTACATTTTTCAACAGCCATCTGCAATTCAAATGATGAAAATCGCTTACCTACGTCTAGTATTATTATGGAAGATTCATTCTGTGGACTTGCACCAGCAACTGCAGTAAATGCTTCGAAGAATTCAATCGACTGTGATAATAAAGAAATAAATAGAACATCTCGTTCTGGAATACGTTCTTTACGTGCTGCTTATAATATCGCAGATAACGAATATCGTGTATGCTAGTTCTAATTTGAATAATTTTAAACCAGAAATTATCATAGTTATTTAAATTATTTTAGATAAACAACATTATTCAACCTCAGAAAACTCAAGGATTCATGGACAAAATTTGGAGCTTTATTTCCTATTAATCTCTCTTCTCGTTCTTTTACTGTTTACTTCATTTTTTTTCAAAGCAAAGATTTTACAATAAAATAATATGGAAAGATATTCAGGTTAGAAGATATAGAATAAAAATTATGCAGTAGATAATTTGGTTAATTGATTATATTGAGGATTTTGATTTTGACTTTGATTTTATTTGGATTTCTTTTTTTTTTTATAGATTAGATTTGTAAGATTTTTATAGATTTTCTATTTTCGGAAAATGTTTGATCAATATTTCTAATAGACGCTCTCTGCATATTGAAAATGGTTATGGAATTAACTTCATTGTTTTTAATTTCTTATTTGATATGCGCTTGATAAAATTTTTTGGTCTTGTGTTTAAAAATAAAATTTTCTGTGGTATTTTTTCATTTTCTTCTTAAAAATAATTCGAGGTCTGTGTTATCTATATGATCCGTTTTCTTTTGTTCAAATCAAATTTCATGTTGTTTGGTGAAAAATTTTTATGTCGAGGATTTCAGAAAGGTCGTCATTGAATAATGTTTGAGATCTTTAAATGATTTTCGTATTGTGAAGCATAAAAAGTTTCGTTTAATTGCAATTTTGTTGTTATTTTTATAAATTTTTTAAAGCATCAAATATCTTGTTATGCTTGATTTTATTTTAAAGATTTTGAAACTTGTTTATATTGTATTAAAATAAATTTATGGAAATTCATCGTGTCTTGCTTTTTTCATTAAAATATCCAGTAAGTGCTAAATTTTCATTGAAATTCATTTGAAATTCTTTGAGATGGCTGGGTAGAAAACTGGCATATGAATTGTTGTGAGTGATGATGGTAATATTTTCTTCTGGGATTTCTGCTTCATAAGTGTATCTGTCAAGCTCGACTATAATCTTACTAGTTTTCTTATTGCTTTCTGCAAAGGATATGTCAATCAGTTACGCTGCTGAAATTGATCTCAGGGATGAATACAATTCATATCAATTCAAATGCATTGTATTCCCTACGGATGTTTTCTTTGGGTAGCCTTTACTAAGTAAATGAATTACAAAAGTAATTCGTCAAATATATAATTATTACAGAGATAATTATTGACATATGGCAATATGTTGAACATTTGTTATGCAGTTGGCATAATAAATGATCCAAGCAACGATTAATTGTGTTGACTTTTGTTTAAGTCCAATTTCGTCGCATGATATCATGAATATAATTTCGAAATAGCGCATTTATACGAGATATTCATAATTCAGATAAGTTGGAATTCGTCAAACTTTTCATAAGTGGATCTTGAACCGTTTATCATCGAATCAGCTGGATATTCACATTTGGCGATCGCGTTTCTGATCACAGAAGAAGAATCTTTATTTCTGAATAGTGTGATGAGCAGTTATTATTTTGGAAGCCTTTGCTGAAGATGATTTTTCACACCATTGCACAGTTCTCATAATGCTGAAAATCACTCTGTTAACTGACTGCTCGCGTCAGATGTAAGCCTCAGTCCATGATGTTTGATAAAATAGATCTCTACTTCCTAAAGTGGCGATCATTTCCTGTAAGCTTTGCAGAGATCTGTGATGACTGCTGGCTCAGCGTTTTTAAGCAAACACTTATCCGCTTAAAGTCATGCATCGTCATAAGAATCATACCCATCAACCATTCGTATGTTCAAGTCTTTAAAAGCAAGTGACTATTAAGTCAAGTTCCATGTACAATACGTGAAAAATCATTATTAAGTTACTTCCCAAGTGCGATGAGCAGTTAAATAGTCTAATGCAAATGCGACATGTAAAAATTTATTCGCTCTTTACTATTATTTATAAAGAATATTAATACTGTTCCAATAAGGCTAAACTTTTTCGTATTTATGAAAATTTGACTGCAAATTGCGCAATTTGACTGCGATCAATTTCGTTATAAAATAAGAAAATTGAAACGCTTGGCTTTTTGTTGTACTTCTGGAGGGACATTTCTTTTAAAATATATAACTAAAGCTTAATTAATTTTAAAGCAATAATTAAATTGTTTTTACGAGTTAGCCGAAGAAGGGAAGTTATAAAAAATATGAAAGACAGTAATAGGAACAATGTCGCCTGTTGCGCAATTTTCTGCTATTATTGATGCCAACTTGCCTGAACGGAGAAGCGCAATGATGAGTTGTAAAACGCCGCACCACCAGAATTTTTTATCCTCAAACTTGGGCAATTAAACCAATTAATAATACGCGAGAACGAATGGAAGATAAAAAAATTTGAATACAATTATAATAACATAATAACCTAGCAAAACTTTGTATCATGCAAAAATCTACGCTGAACAAAAAATTTAAATTGAACAAAAAATAAAATAAAACAATAAAAATAACAAAAATAATTATAATTGTAAAACCAACAATCACAATAACAATTGTAAAAATAATTGTTCAGTGAGGTGCGGCAGCTCGGATCCCACGTTCACAAATCGATATAGGATGAGGAGATGGGAAAACGAGAACCATTCGCCCACGCCAAATGATCCACAAAAACTGCATGGTAAATTTAAAAGGCGTAATTCAAACAATTTATTATAGAGAAGAGTGGGGAAATTTAGAGGAGCAGGGGCAGAAAATCTTTTAAAATACCACAAGTAAACAACGGTGAATTACCAGACTTCAGATTATTGGTAAATAAGTATGACTCGAAATCATCCGCGAAAATCGCGACAGAAATAATGAAGGCAATATAATCTTTAAAGTTGTTTCGTTACCCTCGAACAAAACGTTGCCTATTGCCTAAAAAATTTTTCTAATGAGTCTAGGAAATATTCAATATCAGAAGAAGAAATATTAGAAATATTAGAATTCACGCTGATAAAAAAGATAATGATTTGTCCCATTTTCAAGCGCTTAATAATCGATTTTTGAAAAGACCAACGTTAATAAATATGCGAGTTACTCGCCTCATCATTTATTTCTTATAGCTTTACATTTCTTTACTTTTAGCTAAATCAGGAAGACGACCATTGGTAAAGAATCTTAACAGTCCTGCAAATACTGATTATACTGATTTTAACAGTTATAATAGTGGAGCCATGCGTATTTTGCTGCACAAATCCCTTTGACATTATCAATTCCTTTGAGCGACTATACAATGCAAAGAATTGATGAATTGATCAAATGGCCCAGGATGTGGAAATTACAAGATATGCATTATTCATTGCCGACTAAGGAAATGCCCGATTTTAAATACCTTGGACCCACTCTAATACCGAATGGCCAGGCAAAAGGGGAAATTACAAAGATAGTTAGAAATGCGTTTTTCCGGTTGAAGAAATCTTTATGGAACCATCGCGAGATCACCACAAAAATTCGTTCTTTCGTTCGTTCGATCTTGCTATATGGCTGCGAGACCTGGCCAATGAGAGTGGAGGGTATTAAGAAGCTATCCGCCTTCGACCATTCATATATTTTACATTTAAGATACATTTTACCGTTCAGCGAGTGGATAAAATCGCACATGATCGCACCCACCTTCGTTTAAATACCATTTATATTAACGGTACCTTCACAAAACGGTACCTTCGCCTTCGCTGGTTAGAACACATTCTTCGCCACCCATCACAGGAGTTGTCAAATATTTTCTTATCTGCCGAACTCTGTGGCGTCAAAAGGGAGGTGGGAAAATCAAGACCTGGACTGATACGGTCAGAAAAGATTTTGAACGTATAGGTGAACCACCAATATATGAATTAAAACGATGGAAAAAGGAGGGGCTTCTGTTATTTTCGACGATGGTATCAGATCGCGCAGTTTGGGAGAGTACCCTTGTAGTTGTTGTAGCTAGCTTAACCAGTAATGGTGAGAGCTATTAGACACCAATGCGACCTTACTTCATTGTTGAAAAAGTTGTGTTCATTATTCCATTCAGTAGTTTCAGTTTCAGTAGTCATTCAGTAGTAAAAAATCTTAAATCGCCTGCACACCCCATTATAATAAGTAATTATAGCAATTAATTATAGCACAATCAGATCCCACGCGTTTTATTATGCATTGTTTGGATAGTTTTGTGCTGAAAACGATGACTGCAATAGTTATCTACTTCACACAGAAGTAAGATGTTAGAATCTTTGACTCAATGCTGAGGCTTTTTGAAAATAAAGATGGGTTCATTGCGAAAAAAATTAAAATTAATGAGGTAGAAGGAACATAAATTATTTGATAGATTCGTATAACAAATTTAATGAAACGAATTTATAGCTCAAGGAAATGGGCGAAATTTGAGCAAAACGAAGTGTGCCTTTCTGTTTACTCTACTATTCTGTTAAACTACTCTTTTACAAGCATAGTTTAGGATTTAGTAATTTTTTCGCTTCGTGAATCTTTCCTGCGTGAAAATATGATGACGACCATCTGATTTATCGTCAACATAGGATTTAGTAATATCGACAAATGTAGGCCGAATGTACAAATAGCATAGCATCACAGCAAACTCATCATTCTCATTAGTGATAATTTTTCACTCCATTGATTTGGTTAATAATAAATCTAAAAATAGTAAGCAATCTGGTGAGTTTTTCATCTATATTATTTTAACAAATTTATTCAAAATTTCAGTTCGAAAATGTTTTGTTTCCAAATTAAAATTCAAAAGCTTCTAATAAAAATTATATAATATAAATTATGTAAATATAATTTAATATAATATAATCAACATAGCTTATAAATTTAATTACCTATTAGCAGAGATATAAATTTCTCAAATGGGATGCCGAAACAAATTTTCTTTGGAAAGGAAATGGTAAGCAAAAAAATTTGAAAAACTGTGATCTAATAAGTGTACATATTCACAAGTGTACATAAGCTTTATATAGTAAGATTGAATTGATTAATTGGGAATATAATCAAACAGATAAACTTTTGAATCCTTTGATTGTACGGGTATTTTTGTGAAGAAATCCTGCAATTCATTTGTGAATCTGACGACTATTAATCCAGAAATTTTGTCATATGGCGATAGAAGACGAATCATAGCACTATTCGGATTTTTTAATAAAAGTCTTACTCTTGTCGAGAATAGGAGCCAAATTTTCGCTAACTTTGCCCTTCATTACGAAATGACCAAAATTATTTTAAAAAAATTCATATTTCACAAAATATTTCGCTAATTTTAAAAGCAATTTTTCAATATTTTCATTTGTTTCACTCCTGAATAAAAATTTTTAAAACCTTTATTATTGACATGTCTCTAATCAACAAAACAATATAAAATATCATGAACAGTCATTTGAGAATTTTGATATTCGATGCGAAATAATTTCTAGTTGAATTTTTAAATTCTAGTTGAATTCTTTCGACGGCTTTTTTCTTTTTAACATTTATTTCAATATATTCATGATCAATAATTTTATCACTGAATATGTAATATATTTTTTTCCAGATGACTTAATATTCTCTCCTTGATTTACATATCATTAACATGCCTCTTTTAATAATCTAATAACACCACCGTATATCCATCGCTGTTTTCTCTTATCCTTACCTGTATAAGCGATAATTAAATTGTTTGCAATGACACAGAGAAATGCTTAAAGCTATCTACCTGGTCAAGCAGCATATTTATCTCGCATATCAACGAATATTCGGACTCAGTGAATCGAGTGAATTTCTTTGTATTTTTTTTATTTTTCACGAAATATTCAGATTTATAAATATGAATTTTAGTGGGATTTCTGCATGCATTAAAGATTTACTGATGAACGCGATTTTTTTTTAATGGTATATCACCACTCGGATTGCACTTTTAATTTAAAACTCTTTTATCTTACTTTTTTATTATTTTTATTAATATTCTTATTAAGCTATATTTTAGAAAAATATGATAAAAGAGAATTTGTCATCAAAAAAAATTCGTATATGGAACCCGGCTGTTGATAGTTCGGAAGATATAAATCGGACATCTGGCAATATAATACCTGATAAAGCACAAGCTCTTATCATTCGCCCAATTCAAGTTAGAAACTTTATCAACTTCGTTATTTATTTTCATAGATATGTTGTATTTATGATAATAATTTTTTTGCAGTTTCGAAAAGTTTTTTGATAACAAATATTTTACCACAAATATTCGAGATAAATAAGTCCTTTTTGTCCAAATAATGGCCGTTAAGCGATTACTCGCATTTTCTCTCGATTAATTAATTCAAAATCCTTATTCACTGGGAATTTGGCTATATTTTAAGAAGGTTTAACTTCCATTAAAGCAACATACAGCACTTATTCTCGTTTATTTTGGTTATATTATATTTTATTATAAGATTTATATTATATTTAAGATTGAAAGATTATCTTGCAATGAATTTAAGATGCAATGAGATTTTTTGCAGAAAATTCGAGTATTGTATTTAAATTAATATTTTTTCTTCTCCTAATAGATCTCACTGTTACTGGCTAGGCTGGCTCCGGTGGCTACAAGGGTAAAACGTCTCCAAGCTGCTCAGTCCGACGCCATCTCAGGTGTCAGAATTGCGAGCGGTCGTTTCAAATTATTCCATATTTTTTAAATTATTTCTCAATTTCCCGATTAAAATCTTACTATTCAAATTTTTTTTTCGTTAATTGAGCTAAATTTTAAATTTTTTTAAAGAATTTTAGAACAGGAAATTAATAAATAATAATAAATGTTTCTTTTTATTTTTTTTAAAATTATCTTTAAATTTTTCTTTTAAATTTAATTTAGTTATTTCTCTATTCTCTATCTTTGACAGGAGAAACCTGTCAAGAATCTGGGTGGCAGCTGGGGATCCACCTGTATCTCTATCCCCAAGTGACTCTTTGGTGAAAGGGTCATGTCTCTTTGATTTAAATTAGTATTTATGCTCAACTGATATGATTCCACTATAAAATTTTATTATTCTATTATATTTTATCGAAATTTAAAAATATTGGAAAATGAAGAATATCTAAAAAAAAATATTGGAAAATGTTGAGAAAGATGAGTCTGAATCCTGTCCTCGATAGAAATAAACCTATTAAAAAACCAGGCTAAACTAGTTCTTCTAAGTGATTCTCTTGATAAAAAAAATTTAACTCTATTGACAAAAAATATAAAGATATTTAAAAATATTCAAAATTATTTAAAATATTGAACCAGAAAGAGCTAACCACTTGGTGTTGCACATAAAAAGTAAGAATAGCATTTCAAAATATATTTTTAGAATTTTCAGAAATCTACACAAAAGCCAATTCCATATTTGCATTCGAATGTTTTTAATTTATCTGCAACTCTTTACCATCAATCTGCCGTAACACTATCGACAATTGCGCCCCTATTTCCATCTAATCCAGGTGGATGATATTATCTAACTTTTGCTTAAATGATAATTTTTAATTAGCAGATGAATTCATTTTTAGTTTATATTATTGAAGGTTTTTTGCGAAAAAATTGATAAAGCCGTTGAAATATAAAGATATTCTCATAGGATGCCTAATAAAACACCGACAAAGTGGATTTATCCAAGGATCTATGAATACTTTAGCGGTTCTAAATGAGAATTGCTGTGCGATTTGTGGAATAATGTTCGGTTTAACAATTGATCTTGTTCAACATATAAGGACTAATCATCGTTCATCAAGATTTAATCAACAATAAATTTATTAGAATTCTTTATCTTTGCTTTTTTTGATTGATTATAAAATAACAAAACATTAACAAAAAAAAATTATACAATTATTAAGGGTAAATCGTTGTTATCAGGCGACGCAACTTCGTTCCTTTTTGCCTATTTATTCTGTTCTCTTGAGCGAATTTTATTTCACATTTCAGACCCCTACCATCTAATTACACTAATTCCCTTTCACCTCTCTTTAATTGTATATTTCACCAATAATTAAATTTAACATCTCTCAGATAAGGCGAAAGTGCCAAATATGATATGAGAAAAGCACATTTTATGCAATTGTAGCTGAAAATTTACTCCATATAAAACCACCATAATTCCTCGGCGTAATTCTTTTAAACATCTGTAATATGTCATATTCATTTGAAAGATATTAATATTTATAACAATTATCTAAATTATCTAATCAATTATCTAATTATTTGTCAAATAGAGAATATTTCATAAAGTTTTGAGAATTTATCGTACTTTAATTATATTATTTACCTCGAACCTTTTCAAATTTTAAATATAATTTTAAAAAATTTTTATAAATAATTTTATAAATTTAAAAAAGCAGTAACCACATGTGTAATTTTAAAATATTTAAAAAGTTAGATAGATAATATCTTACATAGAAATCTTCATTTAATTGTCCGAATTTTTGAAAAATAAAAGAGTCAAAAGACTATTTTTCTGTAAATTTGTAAAATAAAAGTTGACTTTCTACCAAGGTATTTAAATGGCACTGTTACTTTGATCCACGTTGAGTATCATTTGCTGCTATGGCAAAAGCAAAGTTATCATTAAAAATCCGAATGGTGATAACGATCCATCTACACTCTTTCTAATAGCTCTCAGCAATACTGGTTAGGTTAGCTCGGTTGGATATAAGGGAAAGGTACCTACCTCTACGGCACTCGATCCGATGCTACGCTTAATATTAAAAGAAACCGCTCTTTTTTCCACAATCTAACTAGCTGGGCTGCCTGAATTTTTTCTGATTTTATCAAGTCAGGACTGGTCTTTATCGCTTTTGACGCCATACAACACAACTTTTAGAAAGATATGAGTCAATTTGTGTCAATTCTGACGATGGTCGATGAAGAATATTACTAAGCATAGGCGACTCACTTTGACGATTTGAAAGCAAGCAATGTTTGAACAAAAATGAATGCAATCATGTGGGATTTTATTTAAATGTACTGTAAATATAATCATGAATGATGATGTCTTAGTATCTTCTATATTCTTCTCTTATGCAATTTTCTCTTCGTTTTGGCTATTTAATAAGAGCGGATCCAAAATATTTAAAGTATGCCTTCTGAACATTCCCTGAGCTCTTGATGAACTGATAAAGATATTTTAATTTGTCAATGTCTGGCGTGTAATAAATTGATCAATACCTAACCAATTTTTTCTTTTAATCATCAGTACTTTCCATCATCTCTTGCATTCCTTCATAATTGCCAAAAACGACTAAATCATCAGCTTATTTCGAAATATTTCAAAGCCTATTTCAAGCTTATCTCTATGACACTATGATCTCAGAGAACTTGAATTTTTGAATACTGACAAATGGTGTCCATTATACAATTTATCGTATAGCTGAATAGTGTAAAAGAACGCTTCCAACTTGGTTACGGCGTAAGTTCGTATGGTCACAATACAACCCAACAGAAAAGGAAGTGAAAATTTCTTCAGAGATGACTAGTGTCGCCAAATGGTGAAGATAATAATTATAAATTATAAATTTGAGTGGGTCATACATTAGATATTTAAGAAAGACCAGAGTTAAAAAAAGGATTAGGAAAATATCTCAAAATTATGATAGAATACCTCGACAATGAGAAGTACAATGAATCTATTTTTTATTTTTGTAAAACCAAAGAGAAACAAACATTTTCCTCGGTCCGTCCCAAAATAAATATAAGCTCCCGAGGGAATATCTTAGCTATTTTTGTGTTCTCGACGGGAGGAGTGGTAAGGAGATGGGGATGGTGGGGATAGAGAAAGATGGTGGGGTCTGGGGGTTGGAGATGAGTTGGATAGGAACGTCCAGGTCAACGTTGCTGCATCGTTCCTGCGTGGCGCTACTGAGTGCCTCACCCACCTTTAGATTAGCCATACGGGAATAACCATATGCCGCGCTAGTGTCATGATTTGTTAATATTTTTAGAATTTTTATACTTGTGTTTTTTTGTACATATGTATATTAATAAAGGTTTAATTACCCAAGTTTGAGGGTTCGCAGTGAGATATTTATAAGAATGTTGGCTGGAGAATATATAATAATTGTTGTTAGTTATAGAGTCCAGCGTGGCAGAAAATATTAACTCTAACAGATATCACAGTGGAGCAGATTTCCCAAAAAAATTTTGAGAAACTAAATATTGGAAGTAGGAATCGCCAATCGCCGTGCTCCACCAAAATTGTTGCCTTTTCTATACAATTAGTAGATTAATTCCTGCACAGTTGTCGTAGCGTATCGTATTTCTTGAAGATTAAGAGAAGAATTACTTTGCTCTAATTATCTGATATGAATTCTTTCTTCCATACCACTTAGTAAATCCTTTGAAGGCCAGTTATGATAACTGAAACTGGACTCGGACTCTTTAAATGACTGATAATTTTATTGGAATATTAGTTATCATTATTAGTTCAATGTGAATAGACGCCTTTTTCGATGCAGGAAGCATATAATGATAGCAAAAAGTTTATGATCCTCCACAAAGTAGAAAAAACGTCCTGGACTGGCGCTTCCCCATTTTTGTCAAATACAGCCTATTGCGCTAGCAATTTGACCTGCGTGCGCATTCCAGTTCCTCCGATTATGAGTATATCACCTTTCGGAATAGATATTATTAGCATTTAGAGTTTAGCTTAAAACTATATTTGTCACGGAGATGGCGTAAAAAGTAGTGGGATGCATATTAATGATCGAGAAATTGCAAAACTTCCCTTTAAAGTCACACGACCATAAGTTATACGGTCGTTAACTGGTTTCCACTTAGAGCGATGGTACAATCACTATCTCTGTTCCGAGCCAGCTATAATCATTGCATAAGAGTACAAATGAACTTCCCATAAGCGATGTCCACGCGGTATTTGCACAAAGTATGGATCGTTATTGTTTAACTGCCGATGTCCATAGGTCTATGGCCGGGATCTTGTCGTGCATGGATAGTTGACCGACAGCTGTTCGTCTCCATTAATAGGTTACCTTGGTCTGAAAGCTCATTTTATTCCTAAGCTTAAAAATTACTTTACCAAGCCTTGCCTGCATACTTTTCGTACGTATCTTGCTCCAACCACCATCCCAAGTGAATCTCTAGCAAAAATTTTTAACAGCCAGGGAACTAACCCAACTAAAGATGGTGGACGTTAACCACTTATATTTACTTGCTTACTTTCTAGTTCTCTTAAAAATTGTTCCATTATTGACGAATCAGATGAAATCGCAGAAAATGCAATTACCGTCCAAATAAAAAGTAAATAATTGTGATCCTCCGCCAGTTGAAGTTCTGACAATTGAGCGTGTGCATTTGACCATACATAATCTATGACTCTTGACAATAATGCACGACTACCACCACACTAATAATGATTTTTCAACTGATCATACTGGAGCCTTAGCAAAGGAATCTCAGCCCAACCACAGTTTAAATGGTTATAGTGATTGATGCAGAAAACGAAGAAATTAATGAACGGCTGCACTTTTGCTTGGCCGTGGCCGCATCCCTACCTGATGGTTTTGCAAACTGGGTGTGGGAAATTTTGAGGAACTGAGGCAGTTTTAGGTTCACTAAAAGAATTTGTTGTGCTAGGAAAGAGTCTCCTAGTTCCCTTCTTGTTTGCACGCTTTGATCATGAATAAGGCTCCCTCCTCTGGTTTTCGTTTTTATGACTCGAAAAGCACCGATGAATTTTCGTTGAAAAAGGAACATGCTAGAACATTTTTTCGGTTAAAATTGCGCACGACTTCTTTCTTTTTTAAAGTTTCAATTTAAGTACCTATTGATCGGCTAATAAGTGCCGCTTCAGGTTTTTCCTGAATAATTAAATAATGCTCTTCGGCCGGTAATTTTGCTTTCCTTTAATTTTTTTCTCGTTTTCGCAATAGTTTCTCTTCCGTCGAAGTGCATCTCTGATTAATTAAACCATTCGCTTTGGCTTTGGCTCTCCTTTTTTCTATGTTCAATTAATAATCCGATTATTCGCCGTATTTTGTTTTGCATTTCATAGAAAATAAAGTTAAATTATTGCGAGTTAATAGAAATGCTTAATTCATTGTATCAGAATCATTAATTTCTTAGTTTGGTTCAACGAAATATTTTCAGTTGCATTGGATGGATGAGAAAGAAAGTGAAAATCGCGTATCTCGCATTATTTCCTTGCTGAACTGCAACTCTTCGGTTGTAACTCACCTTCATCTTTATGGACTTATTTCATCGAAAAAAAGTGATTCCCTTCGAACTGTTGTACGGTCGATCACTGCTGGCAATCAGGTAAGGTGGACGAATGGTTAGTGGATTCCTCTCCATTTCTAATCAGGCTAAACCCACTGGTTGCTCGTGCGGTTAGAAATTTCGCCAGGTATTTCGCGTTCGAAGTACAGGTAAGTCGCTCGCATCGCCCACGTTCTTGTGGCAGTTCTATTTTTGATTATTAGGTATAATTAGATATTTCTATTTCTTAAAGATCGAATCCAAATCTGTAAGTTGTTAGTCTCATTTCTATGTAACTTCTATGTTGGGACTGTATTTATGACAGAAGTAATTTGACTTTCAAAAATCCAACCGGTGCAGACAACCCATTTGTACTTGTATCACCAGATGATTCCGTGGTAAAAGCTGTTTGGTTCGGCAAACGAGCATAACCAGAAATAGTAAGTATTCTTAGAAAAAAAGGTCTCAGATCTAAGTTTTTAATTAGCTTTTAGTAGGGTCAAAAATTTTTGCCAAGAACTTCGCGCTCGAAATAATTATTAATTAATTAATAAAGTAATTTACTAATTAATTAACATGCATTACTTCTGCATTATATTAATTATTAATTTATTAATTACTTATGTAAGACTTTTATCATTTTACTATGAAGAATTTGTCAATTTACTATCAAGATTTAAATTCTGTTACAAATAACTATATCATTGCTTCATTCTCTGGAAAAAAACTATAGAAGTATTCACTGTTGTTTTGATTGATTATTTTTGAACTGATTTCAAAAAATAATAATTTCTCCATCAGAATGACTCCACTTAATTATCGTTTTTGGTAATAAATTATAACTTATTAAATATGAAGTTATTTAATAAGCATTTAACCTTTCAAATAATCAATATATTTTTCGTGGCATTGAATATTTTTAGTAAATTAATGGACTAAAATAAAAAAATAAGCGATATTCTTAAGCCATAATTTCTCTTGCAGCTTTTATTGAATTAAATTAATCTTTTTAAATTAATTGAGTTTAAGTGATTTATTGTCAGATTAATGAAACAGATAATTTTTTAAAAATTAAATTCATTACAATTTTAGATTTTGGAAATTGCTTAAAAATTTGTTTACCATTTAAATTTATTGTATATTTAAATTAATATTTCGGATTTTTTGGGTTTTTCATCACTTATTGATTAATACTTATTGCTTATTAATATTGTTTCAGCATTATATAATGTTATTAAATTGTACATTATTGGATGGTTCACAGAGATTTTTTTGTCGCGAAGTACAGTCGAATTTGCCCTTTAAAAGTGGTGCATATAGAAATAATTGTGATACACTTGAACGATTATGTGAATTTATCGAAAATACAATTCAAGTTCATGAGCACAAACGATTTATTATTATCGTTATGCAAAATGCAGAAGCATTATGTAAATTCCCAACAGTATTTTTAAATGCTCTATTTAGCCTTCCGAAGGAAATTTCAGTGAGTTAGTTTTGCTAATTTGATAATTTTAGCGATGGTGATCGGTAGTTTTGATATCATGATTTGAATCCTGATACACATAAATATATCACTGCTTTATTCTATAGAGAAAAAAGTATGGATCTCCATTAACTCAGCGAAAATTTTTGCTTCTCTTTTACTCAGTAGATTTATGGAAGTACGAGGCAGCAAGTACGTTAATCAAGCTGGATTTATACCGGACGCGGTTGTGCTGACCAGATATTCACATTAAGAAGGGTATTGGAACATCGCTTTAAATATTTGCAACCCACCGTCACGTGTTTCATCGACATTGCGGTTATCTTCGTTTTAATTGATAGAACAGCGCTTTGAACGGCGACGGAACACGTGATGTTTCAGAGAAGATCATTCCACTCATAAAAGCATTTTAGTAAGTCTATATATATGTGGAATTAATAGACTCCTTCGAAATAAAAACTGGTGTCCTTTCCCCAGCATTATTCAACTATGCGATAAACTGGATGACGTGCATTAGTCAGCATTTAAGAGGTATACAAATCAGTCCAGAGTATCATAGATCTTAAATATCTGAGCTGATAATGCACTCCTTTTTGCTGACAGTTATGACGCAAATAATGCTATAAACAACATGTCAACAACTACAGCGAGAATCGAACTGTTAATATAAACGAATTTTTCGCCTTATAAGAAATTGAATAAAATGCCTTATTTTATATTTATTACCTTTTGAGGAAGTGCCAGATTTTAAATATCCTATAACCTTAAATATCCTTTAAATTTTAAATATTTTAAATATCCTTAGATCCACTCTAATACCGAAGGGCGAGGCAAAAAATGACAACCCGAATTACGGCAGCTATTACGGCAGCCATTCTTCCGCTTGACGAAACCTTTATGGAATCATCGTGAAATCACCATAAAAACGTAAGTCCACGCCCATATAGCTAAAATTTGCTCAATCTGCTATATGGCTGGAAAACATAAGAGCCAATAAGAGTGGAGAATATTAATAAGTCTGCCTTTGAACACTTGTGACTAAGGTATTTTACGGATTCTCGTGGATAAAATTTCATATGATCTCATCCATCTTCGTTCAAACACCACTTGCATTAACAGTACCATCGTAGAGTGTCGCCTTCGCTGGTCAGGACACCACAAGAATTGACATGTATTTCATTACTTGCTAAACCCTATGAAGCATGGCGTCAAAAGCGAGGTGCGAGGCAAATCAAGACCTGGACTGATACGGTCAGGAAAGAAGTATGAACTTGAAAGATGGAAAAAGGAATGGCTTCTATTACTGTCGACAATGGCATCAGACCGTGCCGCTTGGAAATATCTTACTTTTTAGCCAGTGGAGCCAGTAGTGGTGAGAACTGTTAGGAGAAGAACTTGGTTTTACGAGTTAATTCGCTATTCGCTATTCGCTTGAGCCTTTGTGAAATGAAAGTTTTTTTAGCACAAAGGTTCGCTGAAATTTATTACTGTTTCCACACTTCCATGGCACAAATTTGAAACTTGTGAACATACTTCAAGTCCAGCTCAATTTGCATTTCCTGGTTTCTCAAAAGGTAAGTTGTATCTTTTTAGTCCAAAGATTTGCTTTTTCCAAGTACATTGTTAATACTTTGTGAATTTGGTGAATACTGATGGTTGTATACCATCAAGTTTCCAATTTCTATCGGCCATATAGTAGGTAGATTATCTGTCCATAATTTGATATTTCAGGATTATCAGTAGTGTTTTCGTTGTCTCTGTAGCTGAATTTTAGTTAATTTTTTTTTCCTAGTACCGTTCCTAATAATAGAGCTGATATGCATAATATGTCCAAGGTAGGACAATTTGAACTTGGTCACTTGTGCTTCAAGTGAGAACTTTGGCTTTATTTGTTCAATAATCCATCCATCCATTTGTTTTCTTAGCTGTCTAGAATATTCTTTTCCATTACAAAAGTTCAGTGGCATCAGTTGCTTCCTATCCATAGAATACCACCATATAATTTTAATTTTTAATTTTTGCGCAGTCCCATAGTGATATTTCAATATCTTTTTCAAGGTCTTTGTGGTTGCTCTTCTTATTGCCTATCTGCCGCTTCATTCATGGCTGTATATGGTTATTGTCTAAAGTAGGAAACTGATTATTAATTTAATTAATATTAAATATTAATTTAATATTAATTACTTTAATTTTAAAATTAATATTAATTTTATTGTTATTAATTTTAATTAATTAATTCAATTCTTAATTAATTCTTAATTCTTAATTGAATTCTTAATTCTATCAATTAATATTAATATATTTCAATTCCAATGTTGTTCTTTCTGTTGTCATTAGTTTAGTCTTTTGTGTAGTTTTAATACAATTTTTTTGTTTTTTTTTTAAACCAAGGTTTAGAAATTTTTTGCATTCTTAGTTAAGGCAATGTCGTTCAGCATAGGTTATTGATTTTTCTTTCTCCAATTTTGAAACGGTTATTTTTTTCCTCTTTTGACATAAATCCCATATGTAGGATAAATAAATAAAGGGAAGGAATAAGCATACTTGTCATACTCATTTGCCAGTCTGAAACCAGCATTTTTTGCCATATTCTATCTTTACTTTGGTTTCTTTCATCATATTCTGTCTTTACTGTGGTTTGGTTTTTTTAAGTACATTCCATAGCAAATGATAATCGAAGCAATTAAAGGTTTTCTTATAGTCAATCGAAACAGTTGTTAAATTCTTTCTGGTATTCTTTAACTTTACCAATCATCCTGAGTCATTATGTCAGAGGTAATATCTTGCGTTCCTCACGCTTTTTTTAAAAACAGGCTTGAATATCATCTCTTTTTCGATATATGGTATATATTTTCTAACAGGCTTGAATGTCTAATATCATTTCTTTTTCGATATAAGATATATATTTTCTTTTTCGATATATTCTAATCTTCTCTGGGTGATCCTAAGTATTATTTTTCTGCAAATAGCAAATGAAATTAAGATTGTACGATAGTCTGCACACTCTCTTTTTAGAATTTGAATATAAATTGATCTCTTCCGGTCAGTTGGTATCTCTGTTTTGTTCTCCAGATTTGCTATTATGGCCTCCATAACTGATCGTTCTGATCGTTCTGCAAAATTTCGTTCATGATCATTTCAACTTATTTATTGATCTAATTTCACCTTTTAGCACTAGTTTTAGCACTGTGAGTAGGGAATACATATTGTTTTGGATATTAAATATTGGATAAAAACACCCAGAAAACAAAAAAATAGTTGATGCTTAAATATGGATGGTCGTCATATCAAAAGGATTTGCATAAAATTTAATTGATATTATTTGGTCACTGATTTCATCACAGCCAAGTGTGTTATTGCTATACTCTTCACATGAAAGCCTTTCATTTGTTTTTCATGTCATGAGTTATAAATGATGCGGTCTTCTGGGTGAAATATCTTGTTCGTCTTCGCCTTAGGCATCAATTTATAGTCGTTTTACTATATTGTGCTTTCATGACTTACTTTTCACTACAATTCTTTCACTTCTCCAATTTTTTTTTGTGTGTAATATCCGCAACTTTTTAATCCTAGCTAAGCCATAGATACCATTAATTAATTTGGGAAAAATTTCCACTTCTTCAGTATTGTATTGAATACCATCATCCTTCACTGTACCGTCAATCATTTTATATTTCTTGTCCATTATTTTTATGTCTTTTGTTTTTTATTAAAATTTTTTTATAATGATACGGTAGTGATTATCCCTATCCCGCATGCTATGAATTGATTAATGGTATTTATAAATGATGATTTGATCTATCTCCAACATTATCCTATATTGCTGTTGCTCAGTATTGGTCTTTGCTTGTGGTAGTTTGATAATCAGGATGATTCGTCTTCAATGACCCATGCTAGGGACATATCCTTTTGATATTTACTCTTAATTTTTTCGCTCACCCATCTCAATGGCAATTTTTTTCTTAATATAATGTAAAAGTGACCAGTTTAACATTAAATTAAAGAATAATTTAATAAAAGAATAAACAAGAAACCGACCGCTTGCAAGTAATAATAATTTATAAAATTTATAATTTATGGTTTATAAAGCTATCCCATTTATTTTTATATAATTAATAAAATTTTATTATTGTTGGAAATTTTTACTTCTTAATATAAGATAATTCAGATGATATTCTAAATATTTTATGTCAAAAGTTGCCACATAATCGATTATATCTAAAGCTTTTACTGGATACTGTATATATAACTTGTCGCGATCCTGACCGGCTTGTGCATTTGGTTACTTTTTTATTTTTTATTTCGTATTAAAATTGCCAAGTCTTTTTGAAAATAATAGATAAAAATGAAATGAATTTTTTGATTGATGTTAATTTTAAAGATTTTTTTTGCTCATTTATTTATTTATTTATGTTTACAGATTTATTTTTTATAGATTTCATTTATGTTTATTTTAATCCTTTGTTGTTGTTTTTATTTTTTATCATTGTATTTTTCAACTTTAGATCGGCAAAAAGTGGAATTCAAAATCATTTAATAAATTAATAGATTCTGATAACTCAAAATATACAACACTGTTGCCAGAACTGAAAAGGTTTTCTAATTATCTTTTCTATGGAATTGATGAAAGTCTTAAGGTATCGTCAAAATTTTTCAGAGATATTGCCATTTCTTTTTTTTTATCATTTTTTTCTTTTTGAGTTTTTTCTTCACTTTAGGTGAATGAAGTTGAATTTATTGATGTGCCATATAGCACTAAATTTGTATTGTTAGCTTCATATTGTGCCAGCTATAATCCTTCTTCGAGTGATTGTCAATTTTTCACCAAAGTATTCTTTATTTATTCGTACCATTTTCATTCACTAGTTATATTTTATTAGCATTTTAATTATATCTAAAATATCCAAACTTATCTTTAGAATAAAAATAAAAAATTTTATTCTAAAATTCTGAAGAAGAATAAAGTTACTTTTCAACGAACTATTTTTATTTAGAACCATAGAAAACAACGGCGGAAAGCTTTTCAACGAATAAAAAAGGATGCGGCACATGAAAGTGGACCAAAATCATTTGAGCTTCAGCGATTAATTTTTATATATTTAGCTTTAATTGATTTGTATGGAGACAAAAGTCGCGCAAATGGTGATGTTCGATTAGCAGTTAATATTTCAATATTAACTTTTGTCTTAGAAAAATTTTATAATTTTTTTTGTTTTTTTTTTTAAAAATTGTCCATTCCAAAGTTTATTTCCGCAATTCCCAGGTATGTGATTTAATTGCGATGGGATGCTTAGGACGAATTTCTGCGGATGGAAATATCGATATACCGAAATTCAAATGCTTGGCATCTTTCGAAACAGTCAATCATCTGTCAAAGTTCGTTCGCACTTTTAGCAACTTTGGTATCGCCAAAAAATGTTTTAAAAAATCTATATACTCTGATTCAATTTCTAAGTTCGATTGATTTGATTTGATTTATTAATATTTTTTCCAGTATAAGAATAATTTTAAAAATTTCTTTCAGAAGAAATTAATTTTTTATCTTTTCGGCGACTCGATAACTTTAATATTTCTTTAGTTCACTTGGTATTGTTCTACGCGATCATTTGTATGATTTTGCTATAGGATGACAAAGTTTAAAAATCTATTTGATAGAAATTCAAAAGAAAAGTGGCCATCCGATTATGCACTGGTAGAGAATGGAATCACTACATATTCTTGTTTAGTCCATTTCTTTAAGTATATTTCTTTTTGCATTGTTCATTAATGCGGTTAAAAAATTAACAAGATTTTTTGTTCTTAAATATCAACTTTCTTACATACGTAATAATAACATACGTTTTTTTCTTACTAGATGAACGAAAAAAACCAATGAAGGAAAATAAAAAATATATGGAGGAACATTGAACTAAAAAATATATTCAACTATGCTAATCGAATTTTCATAGGTTTTCAACAATTATGGTCTCTCTAGTTCCAAATTTGTACTCTATTATCGAAACTAAATGCCCGACGTTTTTTTACATTTAATGTTTTTTACTTTTAATTATGTTTGCGATGATTCGCTTTTAACGACAGGTTTATCCCCGTCAAGGGACCGGACTCATATTGCCCACACTTAGTTGGAGATTCCTCCAGCTTTTTCTGTAAATATGAATGAAATGCATAAAACCAATTATGTGAATTATGCTTTTACGTAAATCTTAAAAAATTTAGTTCAGTAATTGGTGAATACAGCTTTGTAATATTATATGACCAGTGGTAGTGGGTGATATTAAGAACACATCTGCCTTTGACCACAAAGTACATATGTTCGCTGAGAATGTCGCATTAACTTTCGCTCATACTGCTATTAACATTGCCTACTAAGGTCATGTCCGCTTCCCATCGCCAGAAATTGACGCACATCGCACCACTTATCTTGTAATAGACATCAAAAGCGAGGAGCACCAACCAAAATTTGCAACACTGATATAGCTTTTTGAATGTATAGGTGATATAAGAATAAAAACGGTGGAGAAAGGAGTGGCTAATGGCTTCTATTACTCTTGAATATGGGTTGAGCGATTTAGAAATTTATCCTTAGCCAACTTAACCATTAAATAAATCGAGCTATTAGAAGAAAAAGAATAATACATTCTCCAAAAATATGCAGAAGTTTGAATATGCATTAATTCTGCATTATGAGATTTATTAATTATATATAGTTGTTTAATTATTAATATCGAAAAAACTTTGTTCATTGCCTGTTTCAAAATAGAGATCAAAATCTACGAGTTTAACTGATCCATCTAAATTAAATTCGAGACGAAAATAATGGCCATTTGAACAAATTGCAATCAGCGACTGAAAGCATTTCAGACTTAAATTAATCAAAAGTTCTTTTGTAAATTAATGGAAAATAGTTAGATAATTCAAAATTTTAATTTTGAAAGATAATAAATTTGGCTCTGAATAAATCCTAAAAAATATTTTTACATGCCAATAAAGTGAAAAAACTTATGAAAAAACTTACCCCACAATCTTTTTTCGTGTTTGAATCACCACGGCTAGAACTAGGAAAAATTAATTCAACAACAGTTGGTGATGGTAAAGTGAACTTCGCGAAGCTTCGAATTGCACTATCATTACTTAGACCGATATTTTGAAGCCTTAAAAAAAGCGATATATCAAGAATGTCTAGCATACTATTCAATAAATTTATTTGATAATTATGGGATTTGTAAATTTTTCTTCATATGAAGGTTTTAAAGGTTTTCTTTAAAACCTTCAAAAATACATTACATTTTATGATTCACAAGCAAATAATTCCTAAAAAGTAATCAAAAAATCAGTTAAAATGAACGAAAAAATACACTCCGGAAGTTCTTCTTTGATCGAATTTATCAAGAGAAATTTTAAAAATATGTATTGTATCCTTGTCACTAGTTACACCAAGAAATGAAGAACATCGTGAGAAACGTATACTAAAATTTATTAATCGAAATATTGTGACTGCAAATAAAAAAGGTTTCCAAATAAAATATTAATAAAAAATTAATATTATAAATTGCTAAAAGAGGCAAAATAATATATACCAATGAAATATAGCAGGATCAGATCCACGCCACAAATCATTTATTAGATCTCTTGCTCTCACATCGAAAAGTTTAATGATTCTTCCCTAAGATATAGCAATGAAAAAAATTAACAGAATACCAACAGAATATCAAACAAATTTCAAATGGATTGAACTAACAGAATGACATCCAATAGCGATTAAAGTTCCTTCTTTATTCATAGCCAGTCCAGCAATTTCTGTCGAATTTATCGAAATTAAAGACGGGTTAAAATGTTCAGACTGATCAAGTGAAAGCTCTTGTAAATTCACGATCTAAAAAAAACAAACAAGATATCATTCCGATAAAACGTAGAAATTTGACGTATGACACCTAGATTAAATCTTCTATTTTAAAATTGGGCTTCTCAATAGATTCTTAGTCAAAAAAGTACGAAAATCACTTCAACAGTCCCGCTTTTTTGTCCAGGAAAGACAAACACTTGCTTATGTCCTTCTTCACTAATAACACCAAAGCCATTTGGATTATAAGCTGTAATAAATCTTCCATAGACCGTATTACCAACTGGGAAAGAATATATATTGATTTGTCGATCCATTATGGCGATGAAACTTTAAAAAAAATGAATTATAAAATACAATGAAAATTTAAACTGATTTCCTTCAAAATTCATCCATCTCCACTTTTTTAAACGAAAATATAAAAACAAAAATAAATATACAGGCGATCTGTCATAATAACATTTCGAACTGGCTTCGTTAGATTAAACATTCCAATAAACTTTTTCGACTTTTGGTTCCATATTTTCACTGAAAAAAGGTTTTGAAAATAAAGTCACTTTTAAACAGGAAATAATCCGATTTGTTTTAATTGCAACTTTTAAAAACCCAAAAATTAAAAATGAAAAAAAAGGAAATAACAGAACACAGAAGAGTTGCAGGAGAGATGTTTAGATTATCAATAATGATTAATAATGATTATCAATAAATAATCAATGACTAATGACTAATGATTTGGCCCTTATCCTTCACAGAAATAGATTTGTCACTAAAAAGTTTGAATGGTAGTGCAGACCTAAATAGACCCCGTTTTTATTCCCTAAATGATCCCTAGCGATTTTTGAGCCTAAATGGTTCTTTAACGAATGGTGCCACCTTAACAGCCAATGAAATAGCCTAAGCAGGAACTGATGCTCAACGATAGCTCAACGGCAAGATGATCGCCACCGACAATGAAGAATGGCTCGCGTTCGAATCCTGTTGAAACCAGTGGTAATGCTGCCTAATGACGAAAGCAAAAGAGGATAGAATGGCTCAGTGGATTTTGAACGGATGGTTCTACAACTGGTGGAAAAAAATCCAGGTAATGCTGGTGATTAATCTACTTCTATCGCCAAATGACTTTTCGGCAAAATTTATCTGGTCCAACAGCGGAGCATTGGAGCTAGCCTAACTAGCAATGGTGAGAACTCTTATATCAAAAAAAATAGAATTGTGAGTACTCTAAAAAAATGGAGTGAAATAAACCAATATTCTCTGGAAACATTGGAAAACTTCCACCAGCAACCATTGCAAGTAAATTTGAAGTTGCATGAAGCGAACAGAACTTCAGTGTGCCAATATCTTCGACATCTAAAATTTAAAAAATGCTTGTATAAGACTGTAATTTCATATCACATCACTTGGTTTTACCTTATGCATTTTAAAATTTTTTTTCGATGAACTTACTCAATTTTATTAATTGCCGAAGTGGATAAACCCAAAATAAACGTAAACCGGCATCAGTTGAGACCGCAAAAAGATTCTGCTCATCATTAATTCGAATATCATTCACCAATAAACCCATTTTTTTCAGATTCAGATTCTTCAAACTCAGTAATTAATCAGTTCCTTTTTGAATATAATATATAAAATAAGGTCAATTTCGAATTTAAAAAAATTTTTCTCTTCTATAAGTAAATTTCTTGTCTCTATAAATTGATATCAAAATTACGAAATTCTTGCCTGGACAGAAAATAAACCTACAATTAAAACTCAGATTCATATGCACCTGGAGACCCACCTGCATTTCTATCCTAATGACTTTGTAGACTTATAGCAAATGGGTTAAGCGAATCGGCGTGCCAAAGGAGAACGTCTTCTCCACTGTGCAAAAGTATGGATTTCTTGCCATCAGTGTATGTTCTCAATGTAAAAGATATCTAGATATTATGTGGAACTCGCTGGAAAATCAAACTCGAATTAAACAGACTACATTTTGGCCAATCACTGATGGAAATGTTGCGTTCTGCACTAGATAGCTGCTCAAAAATCGAAGTCGAGACTGGAATAAGGTGCCAGACTTAAGTTCTGGTATCGTGATCGATGGATAGGTTCGAACCCCACTCCATGCAAATGCTTTTGCAAAATCGTATAGCCATTCTCGAGCGTCGTTATTTCAAGGCAGACTGTGTAAAATAATTCCTTCCGCAATGTTATGGTTAGACCTAAATATCCGAATGGAACGTGAAAAACATAGAGGATTACCTGCCGAGGAATATTAAACCAGTTGAAGTTCTATCTCTGAAAGTCAGCTGAAAATGCTCCAGGATACATGACTCAGAGGAAATTGGACCTAGAATGAAGCGATCCAGCTATCCGACTGCGCTACCAGAGCGTGCATGTTAGGAGATGCTAGCTATCAGCTTCGCAGGCTCACAACAGTCGCAGCAAAGGGATGCAAAAATTGATAATGGAATGAAATGGCTTTGAATGTGGAGATAATAGTTCGAGTAGATGATAAAAAAATATTTTGCTTACTTCTCAAAGCAACTCGAGAAATGAAAATTTGGGTCTCTCTCTCCCGACATTTAATTTTTAATATCTCTCCCGACATTTAATCTTTAATATGTCCAATATTCAAGGATGGAACGCGTCTGGATCCATATGATTACGAACCACATAAAACAACCCAGAATGAAATAATCTTTGCAATTCACAAATTTAAGACCAATAAAAAACTCAAATGTGATACCCAGCATCCCCTCACAATGCATCTATAAAAACTCAGATATTCACTAATGTGTAAAGACCAAATGACTGAAATAAAACAATTTTACTCCTTAATCCCCGTGAGAAGATGAAAGGATGTTACAAATATCAAGGAATCTTGCTAGAAATCTCTGGAAAATTCAGCTTTCATTTTACTGAACACACTTGAGTGAAAACAGAACGGATCTTAATCAAGTCGGATATAGATGAGGAAGTGGTTGAACTGACCAAATTTCCATGGTGCAGAGAAAACTAAAACATCACTTCTAGTGTCAGCCGTCACCGTTGCTTTAATCGACTCTGCAATACTTTTGATTCGATTGATCTAGTAGCACTCTGGTAAATTCTGCAACACGTTAGTGTTCCATAGAAATTATGCAGATTTATTAGATTTATTATTTTATAGGCATAGATCAGCACAAGTACGTTTTTGTGTATGGAGCATTAATAATCTTTTGAAATACATGCCAGTGTGCGTCAAGATTTCTCTTATCAGTGATTTTCAGCTACGTAATGGTCTGAGTTAACACCACTTGCCGACCTCATAAAATGCACAAATCAGTCTAATGCGAAATAACACGGACCTTAAATACGTTGATGATATTGTCCTCTTCGCTGACAGTTACGACAGACTTCAGCATATGTTAGATCGAGACAGCATCAACTTGGCATTCAATGAAAATAAGACAAAAACTTTTCATCCTATATACTAAAATCTTACATGCAAATCCATCAATGGTCGAAGAAATGCCAGATTTTATATCTCGGATCCACTCCCACACCTAATGGCTAGAAGCTCAATCTTGGACGGTTGCAGCCAGAGTACTTTCCTTCAGAAAAGGAAACCTCTCTGGAACCGATGCGAAATAAGCCTCAGAACGAATGTTCACATCTACCTATCTGCAGTGCATAATCCGAAGCACTTCAAATTTTTTGGGAATAGAATGGCTCAATGAATTGTTGCTCACTTCGGAGGTTCTAATTCCCACAGGAGTGAACTTGTCCGAAAAATCCGGGTGATGATGGCGACTCACCTGTACTTCTATTGCCAAGGGATTCTCGGTATATAAATAAATATATATATATTTATTTATTTATTTATTTTGTGCGACAAACCAGAGGAAAAAATCTAACGGTAATGGCAAAGGCTATAAAAAAAACTGCAATACGCATAATATTAAATGTCTGCAAGATTTAGCAGCTGATGAAAATGGAAGATCTCAGGATGCAATATGCTTCTGGTCTAAGGTAGATACTACAGGCCAAGTAGATAGTCCCACAAGACTGCGTTCAAATGCCATCTGCATTAAGAATATCGTAAAAAAGTGTCGCCTTTCGTCCACGAGAATTGAGACATATCTCCTTATTTCCTAAATCCTGTGAAGAATAGCGTCAAAAGCGAAGGTAGCCAATCAAAATCTGGACCGATGAAGTTAGGGGAGGTTTGATCACTTAGGCGGCCCAGCAATATACTGGGCAGTGGAAAAAAGACTGGTAACTCTCAGGATCGACGTCGGATTGGTAGGTCGGTCCCACCAAAACCGCAGTGGACCGCACCAAACCAGCAACGTTGCTACTAAAAAAGGAGAATAAACCCATCCCTTCAGATTAAAAAACTTTAACTTTAAAACTTTAATAAATCTCGTCACTGCACCACAATCGGTCGTCTGAATTCACCGCCACCTGTTCACACAACTGACATGTGCAGTTGTCGACCAATCGTCTAAAAACTATTCGATAAGGTAATAAACTCAACAACAGAAACTTTAAATTCTGAATAACCGACATTTTAAAAATGAAACCGCGCTTCATTTTAATTGTCAGATCGGCTGATCGTGGTCAATGTACTTTGTTTACGAATAACGAATGTTGAGTGTCTTCCATTAGGAGTGGACTTTCGGTTGATTAATTAAATGGTGGCACTTGAATTTTGGCACAAATAAAAGAACTGTATGGTAGGGTTGCATTATTGAAAAGGAAAAAAAGTGGCGCTCTGATAAGGCGTTTGATGCTTGTCGGCCAGTTTTTTGATGTTGCATTCCACACTTTTATGCTATTTTTTCTCGCAGTAAGTGATAAGTGAGTGATAAGATTTGGTGTCGCATGGCTAATCGCAGATAGTTTGTCATTGAATCCACTTACCGAAAAAAGTTTTCTTAATGACGCCATATATTCCTTCAAGAAACAAAGCCATTGTATCTATTCATTTTTCTCTAAAATCTCTAAAAAAAAATATGAAGCCTCTAAAATAAATTGCCAAGAGCATAAGAAGGCTTTCGTTCGGCACCTTTTCACCTATTCCGCAAACCAGGTGAATTAAAAAAATATTTTGTTCATCGCACTCCTCCTAATCTTAATTTTGAACAAACTTCATTTATATAACCTACTCGTTGCTGATTCGACGGATTAAGCAAGATTTATGTACATAAAAAATTTTATACGATTATATTAAATTAGATTATTCCAAATATTATAAATAGGTTAATTTGAACCCAGCAAGATCTTATGGGGTAAAATTATTAAAGTCTATGCAAAACTAAACTAAGGATTCACGTCTCTCTTTCACTCGCGACATTAATTACTAGAATAAGTTGCCAAACGACAGTTTTTGCATCAATCTTTTGTGGATCTATTTTGCGGACCTTTTAAGGGCTATGGATCAATTGTCCGTCCATTTTTAAAAAAAGGATCGTTCATGATATTATTTGAAACTTCATATTAAAAACTTTTAGCATGCGGTTATGTGCCACTAATATGTATATTTTTTTTTTAAAAAGTCCTCACCATTACTGGTTAAACTCGCTCCACTGGCTTGTCCCACTGGACATATTACCTTTTATATATTCCAATCTATTCTCTTAAAATTCTTATAAATGTTTTTAAAACGATGATTGAATGTACTTTTGATATTTTAAAAGTTTATGGGATTTTAATTTAAAGAAAAATTTTTGGGTATAGATCTTATCTACTTGTCCATTGGTCTTCTTTTTTTCTCACCATTAATGGTTAAACTCGCTCCACTGGCTTGTCCCACTGGACAAACATGCCAGGGAGTCCCTTGGCGATGCAAATACAGGTAAGTCGCCAGCATCCAGACTTTTGCACAAGTTTACTCCTGCGGGGAGTAGAACCTTAGCATCGACGTTCCGAATTTGGCAACAACCCACAGTTCGATACGAATTTCCTTTTTACGATTATCGATATCACTTACTTCCTTTCATTTGGCGTTTCATATATCGTAAATGCGAGCAGATGGCGTTTGTGGCTCTACTTGGTTACTTTCAAATAAAGAATAAAACGAAAAGAAATAAAAAGAAAGAAAAGAAAAGAAATACATTATTAGTTCTGGCTCTTTAATGTTGTTAATTGACTAGTAGATTTGAATGAATTGTTTCTAAACCAAGGCCCTTATGTTTCCGATATTTTTTACTAATTCTATTGAAAGTTGAAGTAAAAATTAATAGCATTAATAATATTTTGATTAGATTGGATGGATAATGGATTTGTTTTTTTCTAATAAACTGATATTATGCTTCTAACTCATTGCTAGTTTGGCTGGCTCTGTTGATTACTGGAGTGAGACCACTTGGAAATACTCGCTTATTCCTAACATCTCTCATGACAAATTAATTTTATCAGCGATTTAAAAAACAAGAAAAAATGATTCTGAATATGTTTTTTATTTAATTAAAAAAATATTTGCCTATTATTCGCCTTCAGCCTATATTTTTTAGTTATTTTCAGCCATATTTTCTTTTATATCGTCTTATCTTTTATCACGAAGCTTAAGTTTAATTTGCATACGCTGAAATCTGAAATATTATAAAACTGAAATTCATTTGGTAAATTAAATTAATTTTTAAGAATTCTGCCAAAGTTCCAATGAAATTACACAAGTTTAGAAACACAGTAAGTTAGATAAATGTTGATTTTGATATATTCCATTAGTGTAAAAAAAGATTCATTGGACGAAATGATTAGCTCTGCAACATGCTGCGACGATAATAAATTTCTTGAACGTTATGTAGCCATTTCAGGTTCATCCATATCAGATGGTTCGCTTAAAGATATCATATGTCTGTAATAATAATAATTATTATTAAATTATTATAATTATAATTAGAGTATCTTTGGTGGTTTTTGGATGAGGAGCAATATTCATTCCTAAATCTTATTTGATAGTTAAATTAATTTATCAAATTTAATTAAATTGCAAAAGTGACTTTAAGCAATTTAACAAAATTGTTATGAAATATGAATTTAAATTGTTGAAGGTTCCACTGATGATTTTGAAAAAAAAAATTATGTAAATACCTTTTGCTAAAAGAATATGGAATGTACTTGATAACTTTTGATTTCATTTAGAGAACAATTGTATATCTCATATTTTTCGATCGAATTCGAACATTGATAATTCAAAGTGAAATAATTTAAGGTATCGCGAAATCTCTAGTACACTTACGATCGAAACCCACGATCAGTTAATCAAACTTATACATTATTCAAACAATTCAAACAAGTAAGGCCATACCAAAGTGTCCTTCGGCTTCGCATTCTACTGTAGTTGTGTAGGTTGAGTTGATGAGTTAATGGCGCAGGATTCGACCAATTCGAGTTTTCCTTAAACAGTGAGAAGATGCACTGTCAAGAGTCTGATTGATACAAAATGTTCTCAGTAGTAGCTGTGGAGAGTTGAAGATTTAAACATTTTGTCCTGTTATCATATGTCGTGTAAGGAAACTCATGGTGAGCTGAGAAATTTTAATTATTCCTCTTGTTCTGTATTATAAACCTAAAATGCCAAGATATTTCCAACTTAAAAATTAATTTGGTTATAAGTTGGATCTTTTGGAAGGAATATATAATCAAATTAATGTTGAAAATTCATTTCTTTATATTCAGCTGCCAAACTTATATGCCAGTCTTAGTAGATGATGGAACTTAACGATTTCTCTTTTCAACGATTAAGACGATTTGGTGTCATGGAATTCAATAATACTATTATCTAGGTAAGCTAGTAATCCCACGAAAGACCATTGTTTCTGTTCCGGTGATTTTCTAATTTGTGTAAGAATTTTTTGCTTGCTTCAGCTCATTCATTTAGTCAAAAATAATATTTCTTGGACTTTGAAGTAGCGAAAAACTACAACATGGAATTTTATTCATTCTTTGTTAAAGTGCCAAAAAATGTGGACTTTACTATGATGAATCGAGCTCATTCATCACTGAGCGAATTATTTAAAAAAGAATAATCTATTCAGTCGATGGAATCAAAACAATGCTCGATATCCATTATTAACCATTACGGTTCAAAAAATTAGCGAAAACTGCGATAAATATGTGCGAACTCATCTGAGCAGCTGTTCAGCAATGCAGAGATACTTGTTTAGAGCGTGCGCTATCCAGAAATATTAATTCGAAAACATTTTATTTAAAATTCTTTTGGAGTTTTTGGAGTTAATTCAGCATACCTAAGGAATTCGGAGTAATAAATAATTTCGAATTGTTGCAATAAAATATTAATATAATATTAATGTTAACTTTGTGCTTTTCATACTTTCTTTTAATAAAATTTTCGACTCTTGCCAAAGCGTAAAATTCGCCTTTCGGTGCGCCCGGATGAAATAACCTGTGGATTTTAAGGTAATTCATAAGTTAGGAACATGGGAAAAGGACGTAGGGGTTACGTTAATTCATTTATCGATGGATTTTTTACTGATTTAATTGGTTTAATCAAGAATGAGGTAGCGGAATTACCTGATAGATTATTGAAGTGCTAAATAATTTCGAACTGTTGCAATGAAATAAGGACCAAGATAAACGAAGGTAACTAATGAACAACAGCAAGATAAAAAAGCGCTCGCTAGATCAATACCATCAAATATCACTTCGCTATTATTAATTTCTTCATGATATGATACCTTCAGTGAATGTCAGTGAAATTCCGCGATAGCAATTAAGGATATCAGTGAAGATATGTTCATTAGAGATATTTGGGGATATTTATTAGATATTTTTTGTAGGTAGATTACAAAAAAATACTTGTTATATGGTTTTGTTTCCGACTTGTTTTCTGTAACAATTTCATATTTGTTTGATTGGCAAGTTACAGATTTAAAAATTATATTTAATACTTCTAGTAATTGCTTTCTCATCTCTTCATTACAGTTGAAATAAATTGCCTGAAAAAATAAAATCCTTAAAACTCTTCTAAATCACCAAAAACTGAACTCGTTAGAATCAAAAATTTTATTATAATTATCAGTTCTAATTTACTGCCCTCTTTTTCCTAAAGCATCCTTTCAGAAATCTCGTGCTAAATTTTTATTATCTAATGATATTAAATGATACTAAAATATTGAATAAATTTAGACAAAATAAATTTAAACAAAAATTCAAAAGAACAAGCGATTATACAGGATTCATCATATGTGTGGTTGAATAAAAGATTGAATGAACAGCCATTGCCCATTTAGTAGTTATAGTAAATGCATAATATGATAAGTAATATATCGACATATACAAAAAAAATATGGCTGTAGACAGCATTATCTAAAGTCACATACGGCAAATCCAATAAAAATTTTTTTTCATGTGAATAAAAGGAACTTGAATGAAACAAATCTAGTAAATTATGTATATTTCAAATAAATTTTCCATAGTAACTGAACATAATTATGAATTTCATAATTTCATAACAATTGCATAAAATATTTGCAAAAGCTTATTTCACTTTTTTTTTTAAAGGACTAGTGAAAATTGAAGAAAATTTTAATAATTTTGAGATGAAGAAAATTGAAATATTTCGAAGTAAAAGTTGAAAAATTGAACTAAACCTGCATCATAACTCGTTGCTGTTGGCGATTTATTTTTTTTCTTATCGTAAATTCCTTAATATTTTGAGTTGTTATGAACTGACTTCCCATTTTTATTGACATTTCAATTAACATCGCACTTGCGCTACAAATTTATGAAGTGTTCAGAGAAGATAACAATTAAAAGATAAGTAACAATTAAAAGATAACATTAATCAAAATACAAATGCTACTGAAAAATAAAAAAAATATTTCTTTTCATTTGATTTCAATAACATTGATAAAAATGAAGTGATATAATGATATTACTAATATATTATGGATTAAATTCATATCTCTCTGACAAACCTTGTCATATAAACTGAAATCTAAATGGAACAAGGGCCCATCTATATAACTTCTCTTGCTAAATGATCTCATCCAAAATTAGTAAATTTAACGAAATCAACAAAGGTGGATGTTATTGAATTAGCACGAATTGTTAGATCTTTGGTGGACAATAATTTCATTTATTTCATACTTCCATTTATTTATTTTTTTATTGAAAACCAACTAAGCAGAGCGCAAACACCATGTGCTTGTATTAGTAACAACAGCTAAAATAATAAATAATAAGAATTAATGACAAAAAAAAATAATAATAATAAAATAAACAATTTAAAGATGAAATAAAGAGAAAATGGCAAAATAATATAACATGGTACAATGTATAATGCGAAATAACTATAATCGGGTGGTAAAAGTCGAGATTTCACATTTCCTGCATGATGTAAAATTTTTAAATAATATCATAGATGATCTAATCTTTTTTTAAAGATAGCTAAGGATGGCGCACAGGCTATATCGTTCGGTAGTTTATTCCAGTAATTAATATTATGAATAAAGAAGTCATTAGTCCTTAGTTTAGTATTATACATAGTTTTTAGTAATTTTAGCCCATTAGTTCTTGTTGGATTTAAATTTAACCTAAAATTATATTTTGAACAATCTAGATTAACGTAACCATATGAAATCTTATAAATATAAATTAAATCTTGCATTTACTACGACGAGCTAACAGGGAATCCAGGTTATATTGTAGAAGTTTTATAGTTAAAATTGCTATTAGGAGAGAGGCGCCGTATAAAATATTTTTGGAGTCCAATTATTTTACTTGATTTACGATATCTCGTGGGTAATCATGTAGCACTGTAGTCAAGAAGTGGCCGAACGAACTTTGTACATTTTGGTAAGGAAATCTTCAGTTTTGTTCTCAAACGAACGAAAAATAAAATTTAGTATCTTTAAGGATTTCTTTACCATGGTTCTGCAGTGAAGGTCGAAATCGAGATTTTCATCCATGATTATTCCAAGATCGGAAATGTGTGAGACTCCATTGATTATATTGCCATTTTTTTATTTTTTTTATTTTTTTATTTTTTATCATTATTTCTTATTATTTGTTATTTTAACTGTTGTTATTAATACAAGTACATGGCGTTTGTGCTCTGCTTGGCTTGGTTTTCAATAAATAAATAAATTTGCTTATTACTTATCATATAGCTAGTTGACTATTCTGTTGAGGTCCTCCTGCAGTGGAAAGAGGCTATCTTTCCACCATGAGGATAATTTTACAATCATCAATAAAGATAAATGGTAGAGTTAGTTCCACTTTGGTGGTATCATTTATATAATAGAAAAAGCAATGGCGTAATACAACTACCTTGGGGAACACCAGATTTAACAGGTGTTGTGTCAGAAAAAGTATTATTAATGAGTACGGCTTGGTAACGATCTATTATACGATTTATGCAATCTGACACCCAGTTATAAAGGGCCCCTGTAATGCCATAATTATTAAGAGTGATCAGTAATTTGCTATAGGAAACAATATTAAAAGCTTTAGCCAAATCTAGGTGTACAACTGATACTATCATTATCAATTGATGCAGACCAATCGGAAAGATTTGTCAATATTTGTGAAGAAGTGGATTTTTTTGTGCAAAAGCCATGCTGATAAGAGGATATAAAATTATTGGCACCAAGATAAGTAACCAATTTATTGCAAATCAACCTTTCGAGTACCTTGCTACCAATGCATGTTAGGCTAATAGGTCTATAATTAAAAGGGACATAGGTGCTCTTTTTTTATGAATGGGAATTATATGAGATAAGATCCTTATAAATTAAACATAGGGGAAGACTCAGTGAAACTGCACATTTTTTATAAATTATTTGTATTATCGAGACCAGCTGAAATGGACAATCTATTTAAGTCTATTTAAGGCATCATAAATATCCAGTAGTATTATTTCAACTTCACCGAGAGAAGTGCAACAAATTCGATTTACGTTAAAACAAGAAGTCTGAGTATTATCCTCAGCAACAAATACACTGGAAAAATATTGATTTTATATATTGCAATATCAATATCAAATGTGATTACATTATCATTATGTTGCAGAATTAATTGTTTACGTGGATTTGAAAATTTTCTTTTGATATAGGTCCAGAAAGAATTTCGATTAATATTTAAAATTTGCTCCTCTTCATTTGACAAATCATATAAAAGAAAGGAAGGTATGTCACTTCATTACTTACTTGTGCAATGCCAGCCTTCTTTTCCATCGCTTATAAATTTGTATAAGGGTAATTGGATTTGTTATAGCCAATATAAAAATGGTTATAGCCTCAATTGGTGAATAAATTAGAATATAAATATTGCTTTTTTCAAGTAGTTGTGAGTCTTGCCATGTATCTGTAAAATTATGAACAAAAAGGACAATTGGGAGATCAGTGAATTAATAAGCTTAAATTATTTATTCACCATGATTAACCTTTGTAAACGATTTCGAAGTAAACGATTTTCTTTTTGCTAATTGTTTTTTTCAATTTAAACAATGTTTAAGCAACTAACCGTTACCATTTAGATAGCCAAAACTGTAGTAATCGTGTTCTTTTAAAGGCGCAATTATACAACAAAAATTAAAAATAAAGAATACTAAATTGATCGACGAAAATATCAACCAACACATTATACTAAAAATTGCAATATCTTAAGCTCATTTTAAAAAATCATTCCTCGTTTTTGAAGTATTATCTCGTTTTTACAGGACAATTTTTTTCAACTCTGAAGAATAAAAAGCTACTAACAATCAAAATTGAAAATCATTTCCTTAAAAACCTCAAAATGAATGTATTAATCAGTTATTTTGTCGTAATCGAGGCACCACTGTTGCATTTTGCTTGGATTATCATTTCAAATACTATGGTTTGGATTCTACCTCTGACTGGAATAAGCGTGTGGTTAAGAAACCTGGATGGAAATTCAACTGTGCTTGTACTCTCAAGTGATTCTTTAGATAATTATTTCTAAAATAATTATGTCTACGCCATTCCTAGAATTGTCAGAAACGATTAGTGTAGCCAAAAAAAATTCACCAGAATCAGTTTTTATGATGAAGTTTTTCAATCAAAGAAAAAGAAATAATTTTATGAAATGATTGAAAATGTGACCATGAAATAGCAAAAACTCTTCAATTTTTTTTCAGCATTTATAAGAACATTTTAATTCCCTTAACTTGTAGTCTGTCGATATTATGATTTGGTTCTTTGGTGTACGATCCTCATCAGAAAATCTTTTGATTTGTATTTTTTAGAATCAGTTTGTATTTCAATAAAAATATTGATGGCATTTTTTTTTACTTTCTGTTTTGGTAGTATACTTGGGTCTGGATAAGATTTAGAATTCATTCACCTATAAATTTGAACCCGTTTTGCAGTGATCAATGTTGCATATTGTCCATACATCGTTACAGCGAATAAACGGTCAATGCATATGGCACTCATATGTCTGCAAATCAAAAATTAAATTAAAAATCTTTCAAAATCTAAATTAAAAATTATTGGAATTTTAATAAGACAAAAGTTTCAAAAAAAATTATGCAAAAAAATTTAAATCCAGTTAAGATGGATAGGCGATGTTCATGCAAGAGCATTTCAGGAAGCGAAATTGTGCAGTTGCTCTCATTTCGAAGCGCTGATGCTGGAATTCTATTCCCGATAGGAGTAAAATTATTTTTCACAAATCCGTTTGATGCTGATGATTCATTTGTACTCATGATTCTATAGCCAAGAAATTCTCTGACAAAATTTATCAGGCTTGATAAGCCAGTGGAACGAGTCTAACCAGAAACGGTGAGCACTTTTCAATATTCTTAGAGAAAAAAATTATGAAACTTAAGAATTTTTAGATAATTTTATAAAAGTATTAATAATGCTAATGATCTATTCGATTGATAAGCCATTTATGTCCTATTCATATGCTAAATTTTGTGGTTCTATCATTTAAAGGTTTTATAATTTTAGAGAGAAAAATCGTCTATTGCAGTGGTCTCCACCCTTTTCTTGCATCACCCTCCGCCTCCTCATCCCAAAAAAGAAAATTCTTTTCAATCAGAGCTTTGAGATTAAAAGTTTTATAATGAATTTATAAAATATTCCCATTCCGACCAATATAAACTTAATTTTTAATGATAAAAAAAATATCTCAAATGTAACAAATGAACAAAACTGGCCCACATGAAAGTGATTAATAGGTTAGAAAGAAAAAGCAAAAAGTATATTTGACAGAGCCCAATTAAACATTCCTTTGCAAAATACTGTAATACTGCAATGGTATTTCTAAAAGGAAAGAAATAAAATTTATTTTATTTGGGAATAATATTGAGAAAAGTTTTAATGAACTAAGAGGTGCAATATAAATAACGAATTTAGACAACGGTATCTTAAAAATTCTAAATTTAAATAAAATTTTAAAAAAATGAATAAAGCTCAAGTTAATGGCTAATGGGTCTCATATTTTTTATGAAATTTCGTTTTGGAAATCCGAAAAAATTTTTTATTATGTTGCTGACCTAAACTTAAACTGATAATATTATCTTCATGGAAATAAACAAAATCTTCATGGAAATAAGAATCCGCAAGCTTTAAACCTATAAAACGAAAAAATAGCGAAGAAAAAATTGCAATTTGCTCAATAGCAAACGATCATTCAGTTAAAAAGTTGCTGATTAAAGGAAATGATAATGACCAATTAAAAAATTATAAATTTTTATTGTACAACAGATTCGAACAAATGCAATAACCACTGATAAATAGAAAAACGGCTTTGTTAAGGAAGTGATTCTATATCGTACCATTCAATCGTACCATATGAATTTCATGGACGAAGTCGAACAATAAATTCAACAAAAAACGAATGGAAGTATACTGTTTGTTTTGAATAGATAAGCTTATAAAAAAATTAATAAACTAACGTGAGCGTGATTGACCACGCTACCCAGTCGACGATATTAAAAATTCGCATAATAAATGACGAAAATTGATGCCTCTTGAAAATAATTGGTGGATAGAAATAAAACGTTGTAACGACACCATGCAATAAATCAGCGACTGATAAACTTAAGATTAAAATAAAACTGAAAATTAAAACTATTTTTTTGATATTAACATAATATTTAAAAAAGGAAGCAAAAATCACAATATATCAGATAGCATATATTAACACACAATATATCTTTTTTTGCCACTCGTCTTGTCACAAAAAGCAAAACAAAATTTTTCGTGGAAACAAAGAAGCAGTAATTCAGTGCCATCGAGTAAAAAAGTGATTTTTCACCTGGCTTTATTGATATAATTGTTTTTGACAAAAACGATAATTAATGAAATATTGCCGAGAATTGCCGTAATTCCAAGCGATTCTAAACCAATAAAAACGAATAAATCAACCGCGTTAAACCTGCAATATTCCTAATGCCAAATCTACCTTTGATTTTTTTAAATTTTGATTTTTTCTCAATTTTTTTGGATTCGCGGAATTGATTGTATTGCAAGAAGATATAGAGTTGCAGTAATAATGGGCAGATGAAGAAAAAAGATATGAGAAAAGGTGAAAAAATTGTGGAAATGAATAATCGTAATGACAACTAAAAAAGCCACTGGATATAAATATATAAATTATTTAAATCCTACGTGAAAGTTTGAAACCTCTGTGATTTTTTGATAAATTATTTTGCTGCATTTATAATTCTTTTTAGTTTTTTATCTACTTAAATTTTCTAGCCTTTAAATCACTTCAATTCAGTGGAAAAAGTATAATGACAATTTAAATTATACATATGAAGCAAGAACATTTCAAGCTTTAGTTAGGAGATAAAATATCCATTGAATTGCAGTCCACAAGAATAAAAGGCGTCGCGAAATTGCAATAACAGATTGAACGAAAATTCATGAGACAAAAAATATTTCGTATTTCTCCTTGGATATTTAGCAATTTAGCAACTATTTAACGATAAAATTTTTTAAATTATGGCAAAATTTGATTTTAAGAAACCATATAGAGTCGAAAAAATTCGTAAAATCTCGAATGAATTACACAGTTAAGTGTGAAATCTGGAATAGATTGTACGGAATAGATTGTCTAGAAAACTTGAAAAATATTGCCCTCTATATTCGCTTTTAATGGAAAAAACACAAAAAATAAGCAAAAAAAGAAAAAGGCTATGAGATTAGAACGACTAGAATAAGCAGAAATTGTTATTTTATTGTTACATTTGTAATCGTCTAATAGCTTAATTCTTCTTGAATTTTTTAGCAATTCCATAAAAATAAACTTACTGATTTATTTCAACGGAGCTGATCGAATTCTTTAACACCTCATTAAAAGGCTTTCTAAACGAGGACTCCATCTTCCTCTTTCCAGTGATTACTGCACGTCTAGCATCGTTGTCTGTAAATACAAACATGAAAATAGTTTGAAAATGATGCAAAAAATTTGTTGGAGGTGAAAATCGGTTGAGAACCATTTTTTTTAAAATTAGGCGCACCATGTTGCTTATTGCTTACATCTCATTCGATAGAAAAACAAAAAAAAGCAAAAAATCTATCGCAGTAAAGGTGAACAAATTTAAATACGTATGGCTGTGAGGCGAATAGTTGAAAAATCTGAATGTTTTTAGAAAATGCAAATCGCTCGCTCCAACGATAATATTAATTAACTAACATAAGGCGAAATTCAAAAGGATACAATGAAAGGATTAAAGATTTTATTAGAAAAATATTCCGATCATCCCAACTGAAACTTTTTTGTCGATTTTTCACGTATTAGTCCGCAGCTGGCAGTTCAAAATACGTCAATTCAATCTCTATTTTATAGGTAGTTTACAATTTGCAATTTATAATTTACTCATTTATAATTTATAATGCACTTATTCTTTAGTTTTAACTATTGTTTTTGACAAATTTAATAGACAATTTTCCAGAGATCTTTAAGAGCACTTGAACAACAACGAGTCATCCAATAATCCGTAATCCGTTTTCTAAATTTTCATAAAGTGCTATAACAGCGAATTATAATATATAATCGTAAAAATAACGACCAGCTGAATATTTAGAATATACTTTTTATATATATTTTTTATATATATATTTTTTTACCATAAATATTCTTCTAGAAACAAGGTTTTGCGTATGCAAATGCCATCTTTTTTCAGCTGAATTAATGAATTATGGATAAAAAGAGAAATCTGAAGTTGCATATTTTTCGCTAACTAATTTATGATACCTATCTAATAGATTAAATAGCAAAAACTAAAATTTCACAAAATTTTTTAAAAAAGCGATCGCCATTTATTTCAGAAACTAATTATTCTCGAGTTCATATAAAAAAATATTGAAAAAATAAAAAAAGTTATGTAAAAAGTTATACCAATAATAATTAGAGTTCATATATCAAAATTTTAGTGGAATTGGAACATTAAATTTTGCATCTGCAGTATTTAAAAAAAAAAAAGCAAAAAGATAGGAATTACTTAAATGGTTTAAAGCCAAAATTTTCGTTAAATTCACAGGTATTACTCGAAGATTAAAAATAACTAAAACTTTAGAATTCTAAATTACAAATTGTGCAACCAAAAGGAAGATATTTTGCAAAGTGATACAAGGTGCAAGTGAAACTAGTCGAATATATATTTGTTAGAAATGCTTTATAAAAAAAAGCAAAAAAACTTTTAATACTAATAACAAAAATATGAAAACTCACGCTGTATGCTTCCATTAACCGAATTTTAATAATCAAATACTTAACAAAGAAAGCAGTGGTGCTGAAATTTTTCAAGGAATTTTTTAAGAATTAATCTTAATCTTTAGTGAACTTAAAATGATCTTTTTTCCAAAAAATTATTAATTTTGATTAATAGCTCTAAATTTTTTCAAAAACTTAAATTAATTCAAATAAATACTTCACTTTCTGACAGTTAATTTCTAAATAGTGAACGAAATTACTGCAATTGTTTGCAAAAAAATTTTATTGTTTTCACAGCTGAAATTATATACTAACATCCTCGAAAATTTTTCCGAAACATAATTTAATTAATGCTAGAGGAAATTCAATTTACTAACAGCTTGGTTATATCAGAATTCAATTAGCACAAAGGATTTACTTATTTATTTTTATTAAAAATTATAAAAATATTCTAACAGCATGAAGCATTTCTCGTTTTGCAATATTAATAGTTATTAGTCGGTTAGAGGTGTTTTAGTGGAATCGATAGTTGTATTCTGTTTTTATAAGTTTACTTAAGGGAACTCTTGGCCTTAATCCCAGATACAACGCACTATTTAATCATTCTGTCATTCTGTCACGTTACTATATTTATTTATTAATATCAATCTTCATAAGAAAAAAAAAATGCAGTTCCATTTCATTCTCTAACCATATTTATTAGTTTAAATCCAAACTGCATTTTATAAATGACCTTTTGTATTATTTTTAATATTTTTTTCTTTTATTGCTTAAATAGATCAACTAATAACATCGCTTCATATGGATCTGGATACATTGAAGAATAAAGCTATATTTTAGGCTATTCTAAAGCTAAAGCCTCACCAATTTATTAATTTTATGAATTTTATGTTCTGAATTTTGACAATTTTTTGCATATTTGTTTGCCGAATTTCAAAAAGTTAAATAACACAACATATAATAATAAACAGCTTGTATTTTATAGAGATATTAATCTGATTCCTATAGAACTTATCCATGTTCATTGGCTAATTATCATTTGCGGCAATCTCCCACTGCTTCATTTTTTTTTTAAAAGCAGTAAAACAATTTTTGCACGGTTAATCATTTCATATTCCGCAAAGAAACGAAAAGCGAGAATTGAGCTTGCCAAAAATCAAAATTCAGAATGTTTGGGAAAATTTTTTCCCATAATACTGTAAAGAAAAACAATATTGAGTATAAATGAAAGGGAGAATTGCCCTGCAAGCGAACATTAAATTCCATATTATTATCAATACTTTGATTAAAAGAGGTGCTTCTTATAGATTTTTCCTTTATTTCTTTAAAAATTCAAGATAATACATGAATCTGCCGTAAGCCAATAAACAATGTCAGTTGAAGAAAACAAGTGAGAGGAAGAATATCTTAAATTTTAAAAATTTTAAGAATCTTGATCAGATTTCGCACGAAAAAAATAAGCATTTTGTGGGAAATTTGACCTCTAGTGCTCGACGCGATTGAGGTTAAATGGGCATATCAACCAATAAACTCCATTAATAAATTTTCCGATTTTTTAAAATAAATTTTAGATTGCCGACTTTGCCTTTCCTTTATCGATGGCAACACCTTACAAATCCTTCGAAAAAAAAGGAAAAGGGATTAAATATTAAAATAATTTTCAATAAAATTAGTTCATCTGAAATATCTAAATTAGCGAGCAAATGGCTCAGTTGGCCACATTCTAAGAAATTGATACATTCCATTAGTCGTAAAGAAAATCGCTTAAGGATAGAAATATAATTGTATTATCTATATTATTACACAGGTTTTTAATTTTATTTCTGCCAACAGAGTAATCTCTCAAATTAATCCTGTTTTTTGCATTTTTTACGAATTAAAAGCAACATTGAATGACGAAAGAAAAGCATAACATTAAGAGGAGTGAAGCAGTAGGACGTGTCACCATTTGGCGATTATCGGCAAAAAAATGAACATAAAACTGATTTCATTCAAAGATTCAGTCGTCTCTTTTGGTTTCATTTTTTCTATTTTTATTTCTTCCTATCGATTACGCCATGCATTGTTGCAAATGGTGGTTCATGTGGTTATTTTTTTATTCAATTTTGAATAACTTTTTTTCATAAAATAATGTGCTCGAAGTTGACGACTCACCTGTATTCCTATCGCCAAGGGACTCCCTGGCATATTGCCTAAGCCAGTGGAACGAATTTAACCAGTGATGGTGAGGACTCTTTAAAAAAAAAGCATGTTCGAAGCATATTCTATTTAATTCACCATAAGTGCCTAACCTTTTAAATAAAAAAATTTTCCAAAATCTTCGAGAAAATAATCAAATCTTAAAATCATTCTGGCTAGAAATTTATGTGCGCAGTTCGATTCATGTTTTGAACCCCAATTAAAAGCAAACGTATTCTCCTCGCTTCATTTTGCTTAAATTCTAAAACATAAAGATTATCAGTGAAAAATAATGCAAAATAATACGGCAAAAAAGGCAATGAAAAATAAGTCAAATTGCAAACGAATTTTTGCATAGAAAGTGATTGTAAAATGTGAATGAAATTCCTCGAAAATGAAAATTTTTTCGAAAAATATTTCAAAAAGTGTTCCCAAGTTAAAAATCACTATGGCTTTTGGATTTTGCATTTTGGATTTTTTGTCACCTAAAAAAAAATTAAATAGTTTTTTATTTCATGTAAAGCGATTTTTTCTAAAATATTGTTTCATTTTCATTTTTCAACGAGAAATATTTTCCTTTTGAATAAAGTAGAAAAAAAAAATTTGCAAATAAGCAAACAAATCTATTTAAAAAAATGGATTTCAATCGTTGAAGTGCGATGATGCCGTTCATCGAAAATTTTTTGATATTATTTTTTTCAATTTAATAAAATATTCATCGCGGAAAAAATTCAATTATTTTCAAAAGATATTTAAAATTCAAGGGCATTCTTGTTTTTTGCTCGAAAAACTGAAGAATTATGAAATCGAATAACAAAAAGCATGAAGTGTAAATGCATTAACGATGGCAAACTTTATGGGTTAAAAAAGAAATCATTCCTACTATAATATTTTTAAACGTCATTTTAGCCAATACAAGAAAACGTTTTTTTTATACATCTAATTTTTATTAAAGTAATATGCAGCAAAGGTTGATGAATCAAATAATCTTGTTCGATAATTTAATGAGAATTTCGATTTAAAATTCAATTCGCTTAATTCTTTTTTTTACCCGAACAAAATGTCAATCATTTTGAAAGAATTGATATAAAGAAAATGTCTTAAATTCTCTATATAACTTTTTATTATACTTTTCAGAAGGTGCATTTCTCTTCATATAGTTTCAAATTAATGAAAGTCCCAACCTTATTTTTGTCTACAAATATATATATATATATATAAACAGTTATAAACATAACATATATATATATATAAACAGTTTCAAATATATATATAAATAGATATTGCTCAGTGGGTTGTTGTTCAATTAGGAGCGCCAATGCTGGGATTCTCCGCAGGAGTAAACCTGTACAAAAATTTGGATCTGGTGACTCACTTGTATTTATATAGCCAAGGGACTCTCTGGTATATTTGTCCAATGCGACAAGCCAGTGGTGCGAGTTTAACCAGTAATGGGGAGGACTCTTAAAAAATATAAATATATATATTGAACTCAGTTAGGCCATTTTTCTCGTAGCACATCAAGAAATTCATGTTTATCTCCTCATATAAGTATCCTCACTAAGTAAACTTGCTATGGAGCACAAAAATAGATGAAATCCGATTGTCACAACTATAAGAGATTTTAAACGCATGAATGTCCAGTGGCAAAGTTTAACGGTGAAAAAAAAGAGTCTCTTTAATTAATTTCAGATAAATGCTGATCGTGATGCTTTTAACTGCCTCGTCTTAGCCATTATAGCCATTTAAACCAGAAACATTGTGTCTTATTTTTCATTTTTTTATTTGCAACTTATTTTTTATATGGACTGATTGCACTAAAGGTTCATCAGCACGAAACTTTAGTACTGAAACTTAGAGATGTTCCAAAAATCATTTTCGAAAACCATTTGAATTTCATTTTCAGTGGCAGATTCACTATATCGTGTCAAGAATATGAGTTAGATGACTTCAGTCGAAAAAGAAAAAATCAGTCAATAATTTTACCCTCGATTATAAAATTCGTACTCATTTTGTTTTCTATTATTTAATTAGAAGAAGAAACTTAATCTAAATTTTGAACTAAATTTTTCTAAAATTATTGGTTTAATTCATAATATCATGATAAGAAAAAAAATGATTAGTATCATTCCTAATTAAGGCAATTTTGCTGGCACGATCCGAAATTTTTGTCAGGAAAATTCATGAGCGTTGGCGACATTGATCATCATACCACTCGAATTTTTTAACAATCAGAGTCATTGCCTCTGAATCGCTATGCATTCGACTTTTCAATGTCTATGACCAAATGGTTCAAAAAAGACTCTGTGTAGAAGAATTTCAGATATCTCACCAAAATAAACAGCGTAATCTAAGACTAAGCGAAGCTAATCGTCGAGAATTTTAATTTTAGTCGAGAAAAAAGAAATTTTAAATAATATTTTAAGTATTGTATTCAAAGTAAGCGAAAAGAGAGCTTTCATTTCGATAAATTGAACATTTTTTAAACTAAATTTTTGATTTTAGTCAAAAAATTCAGGATGAATTTAGTATACTGTAAATATTTCTTTATGTATCAAAAGCTTAATCTTGTAAAAGAATTTTGGTTTGATTGAATGCGAAAAAATTTAAAAATAACTAAGAATTGTGGCCGTTTTCACATGCAAAAAATTAAATTAATTTAGTAGAAAGAAAGCGATTGATTGGATTGGTACATATGGAAAGTGAAGGATGAAAAGGGAATGATTATATTCATGCATGCCAACTCTTCTTTTAATGAAACGAGAAAATTCAGCTTCTTCATTTTCGATTCTAAATAAAATTTCATTCCGGAATATTTTTTTCTTTTGAGGCATGCTAGGCCCATTCATAGAAGAAAATAAATGAGAATTATTTTTAAAAAATTCATGAGGACCAAAACAGGAAAGAATTTCCCAAAATGAAATCCTCACCACATCCGGTATTTTCAAAGACAAAACTTTGTGGATAAATGGAGATTTGAGGTTGTACTTGCTGGATAACTAAGGTGTTGAAATTAAATTTCAAATCCATTCCACTGCTCATTTATCGAAGAATTTCTCATAAAGATTAACTTTGCAAATAATAGGATTCAACTTTCTGCAGAAATGAAATTCATTTGAGCATTAATTAATTGGCAGAAAATTGAGAAAACTGAGTTTATTTCTTTTTACAGTTTAGGATACAGCTCTTGTTTTGAAGCTATTAATTGTGAAAAAAAATTAAGCCGATGACGATTGCCTTATTTTAAAAGCTAAATTAAACCGCTATCACTTGCTACCTCGATATTTGATAATTTTCATATTTAGGAAAATTTCACTTATATATGATTAAAGAAAGAGCCATTTGGCTAGCTTCATTCTTTTCTTATATTCTTCAAAAAATATTCATCCTGTAATAAACCCATATAACAAAACAAAAATGCGATATAATGCTAGCGTGAAAAACACGTTTAATCGAAACACAAATTGAGCGATTGTTCGTTTTGTCCTTCAGCATTCTTTACTACGCATTTATATTTTGCTTCATCAGTTTTCTGTGGGCCATGTATTTCCAGTAAGAATTGATACCCTTCCTTGTCCTTATCATCTTTCTTCGTTATCATCTTTATTCGATCAGTGATTTTCAGAGGCTTATCATCCTATAAATTGCTTTGCTGGAAATCAAAGGCTTTGAACATAAATTAACAAATTTAAATCTATTATACAAAGTTTAATGAATCTATTATATATTTCTAGACAGTTTTGAAGGATTTTATTATAACGACATTCATTGGCTTATAGCAGTACTTAAATGAGGGAAAAATTCCTAAATTTTTTCGCAAATATTGCTGAGCAATTTATGTTAACTAAACAATTAATTAAAAGATTAACTGAAAAATTGTTAAGAGCCTAAAATTAAACCAGAAAATGAACTGAATTCAGAAAATGTTGCATTCTAACTGCTTTTTTTCATAGCAAAAAGCAATTCGGCAATGAATTATGGCAATATTTTATCTCAGATAAGGGAAATCTTAATTTTTTGCTGATTAATCTTTTCATCCTAACAAAAATGTGCGCCTATATTGAATTGATATAATCTTTTGTCACACAACCTGGCACCAAAGTTGTATTCTTTCTCTTGCAATTTTCGACTAAACGATAGACTAGGTTATGAACACTGCTCGCCAGCACTCAAAAGGTGCCCAGAGAATAGCATTGCAGACCTCGAATGTACTGATACAGTATTACAACAGGCATTAGACCAGAAGTCAGAAACAAAAATTGACCTTCATTCTGATGTTAACACCGAAATACCAGTCAATAAAATACCAGTCAATATAGAAATTCCTTTATTTAAAGACATGTCGGATTCCAATTATACTGAAATCCGCTCTTTTATTATCTGGTCATGCGAAGGATGAAAAGAATAAAAACTCACTCCAGTAATTTTTTCCTTTCCAAAACATTAACAAAACAACATTACAAAACAAGACCAATGGGAATAGAAGAGAAATGTGAAGAAGGAGTAAAAAAAAAAGGAAGAGCAGAAATGTGAGGAAAATTTTTGACCATTTTAGATATGTACTGCAAAAGATATCTGACAGCATCCATCTTCGTTCAATAAAGTTAATATCTGAAAACTTTTTTGAGAACGACATTACTGAACGTTTTCTGATGGATAACGTCAGTCAAAAAGGTGTGGGCTTAATCAAGCTTTGGATAGAGGCGTCCCAGCGATATATGGACTTAGGCGATTGGCTTCAATTAATTTCAGACATCGCATCAGACATACTTGGAAATATTTTACTGTAATCGGCGCCAGCGGAATTAGCCAAATCAGTAATGCGAGCTACCAGAATAAAAAAAGAAAAATACAGATTGATGAGTGGAGATATCGCGAGCTTAATTATATGTAACTGCTATAAATAGTTTTAAATTACGAGTTATTCTTAACAGCTATAGCAAAATAGAGGAGCAATAGTAATTATATAATTACTGATGCTGCATAATTAACTCATTAGGTTATGGAAATAAGTTAAGAAAATAATTACAGAAAATTTTTACTTTAAACCACTCTGCTTTCATTTCTAAAGGCGATTTTGCTCTAACTTTGATAACAATAATATTACCACCATCACGTTGCACAATATGTGGCTTGTCATGAAATTCTGGTGCATCTAAATTTTTTTTAAATCTTTATTTTCAATGTATTAAGCTTGCATTTTCTTTAAAAAACTTGAAATTGACTGCTGTTTTTACGAAATGGTTATGGCTCATTGATGATTTGCCTAACTACCAATTTCAGAGGTAATGAACAATTTCCTTTACTCTGCTTTCGTTTTTTGCTCGATAATGTTGAAATTCTTTATCTATTAAATTTTTAAATTAGATTTGAGGTTTTTAAATTCTTTAACTCTGATTTGAACGATCTACAATGAACTACAATGTTAACTGCTGCATACTTCCAAGTTTCGTCTTAACAGTAAGGGACTCGAGTTCGTTCACAGAAGTATTTTAATCATTAAAAAATTCGAATAATGCTAGAAATTCACGTGCATTTCTATTTCCAAGCAGAAAAAATTCCTCATTGCATAAAAAGTCATGAACTAAACCCAATCACGAGGTAAATATTTCATAATACATAAGTTTCCTCAAAAAAATGCAATTTTTAACGAAGGGAGTGACGTCAAATATTTCAAATATTATAATATATTAAAATCAAAATGAAAAAGTTTGAGTTCTATTCCAGGCTACTGTAGGTGAAAGGGTGGAGGTGGAAAAACTCGCATATCCTCAATTTCCATCCTCCAGTGGAATTCCTGGCGGATTAACCTTGCAGTCAATGGAGTTGACCAAAGAAGAAATATTAGGAAGAAATATTAATAACTATATAATTATACAAGGATCGCTTTCAAGGACAAATATTCGTCAAGGATCAAAGGTAGATATATTCGTTAATCAATCAGATCTTAAGATATAAATTTAAGATATAAGATATAGATATAAAAGATAAGTATAAAATATAAATTTTGTTATCTCTATTGAATTTAAATGATATATCTTAGCAAATATTGCATTTATTTATTTATTTCTTTTAAATTTTTATAAAAAATTTCTAGAAGCAAAAGGATTTAAAATTTTCTCGTTTTTATTTCTAAATTTTTTTTTTTAATTTTCTGCTCTGCTATTTTATTCATTCAGCCATCCAATCTTTATTTAAGTTTTATTTTAAATTATTCGAAAATTTTTTTGCCATTTATTTTATCTTTATCCCTTTTGTAAATATTTTTGATTTTTGTTTTATGATTTGAGAAATAAGAAAAAATAAAGTTTATTTACTTCCAGCTTGTACTTTGAACAAAGCGCTATTTTCTCCATCACTGCTATAAAATCTTGCTTTATACTCTCCCGCCAATGCTTTATCGAAATGCTGAAAAATACTCGAAAATCAAGGTGATTTTATGCACCTAGTGAGTTCAAATTTGAAGTAATGATAAACGAAGTAATGAAGTAATGATGAACGAATTGAGCATCACGTCTGATTGACTAGGAGTGTGGTTAGATATTTCTGCACGGAAATTACTTAGCAACAAAAGTATAGGCGAGTCATGAGCATTATCCGCATTTTTAATAACACGTATATACTGCGGGTCGAAGTCTGTGTCTCAAGATAACCTAAAACACTATCCATCTACTCGGCTATTATGCAGGCATCATGCAACGATCGAATGGCTTTCGACTAAGGTGGGATTGAATTTTTCATCAAAAGTGAAATATGGGCGATTCTAATGAGCCGCTTATACTGCTTTTATTTCCAAATAATTCCTTGGTGAACAGTCCTCATCCTAATAATCAATAAAGCTAAAATATTGAGTGCTTTTAAAATAGAAAGGTAACTGATGACAACATCTATATTTATCACAACATCAATAATGTAAAAGGATGAAAGTTTGCCGTCATCGCCAGTTAATTAAACGATCAAATAAAGATGAGGATAAATGGTACTTCAGTTTGTGCAGTTTTAAGGCCGTCAATTCGTAATTTTACTTCATTTTTACAACATGGGAAAGGCAGTTGCTTTATTTCGGCAAAAGAAGAACAGAAATTTTTTTTTGAAATCTATCATATTTCACCTTGATTTCGCATCTTAATAATATTCTTTTTCCACCTTCATCTCTCGTTGAGAAAACATAAGTTTCGCTTTTATCAAGTTCTTTATCGCCGAAAAACCATTTAGTTTTTGTTGGGTCGGCTCCTAGAAAAAACTCAGGGAGAAAGTATTTATTTCAGGCCCTAATAACAATGCTTCAAAAATTTATTAATATTAAACTGTTCAATCCAAATCATATTAGAAAGCATGAATAAACTATTTTACAGAGTTATTCTACATAGTATTCTACATATTATGAGGATTTATGAATTATGGTATAAATAAGTGAAAATCATATAAATCCACAGTGAACTTTAATAAAAGATCAGAAAAGTTGAAAAGGCCTAACACTTCATTTCCATAAAACGAAATTTGAAATATGAATGAAATTTTTTTTTGCAAATATCTTTCTTTAATTATTTTTATTCTTCTTTATTTTTAGCAAAATTATTCATCAAATAAAAATACTTCGATTAAATGAGACACATAAATATAAAAATCTGAAGAATAATGTCCGAAGAATTACAAAACTGGTTCATCAATATTTTTTTTTGGTTTAATAAAAGAAAATATCTTTATGTTTGTCCTTCAAATTTTTTAAAAATTATTTTAAAATTATTTTAATCATGAAAAGACATTTAATATGCATTTTGGCTAGCACATAAAGTAAGCAGCACTTTTAAAAAAAGTTATAATATAATGAGAATGTTTCTTTTTTTCCAATTTTAGGTAATTTTAAATCTGAAGAGCAGTTGTTCCACATACAAACAAGTTAATCATAGTAAATAATCTTACCTGTAACTACTACATCAAGAAAAACACTCCCTGACGTTGTTTCATGGGTAATTTTTGGCTCTCCATAAATTGCCGGCGGTGCCATCGCAATGCTAAAATAATATTGGTGGAAATATCAGATTTACCAAAAATTAGCAAAAATTAAATCGTGATTAAGAGCATTTTCGTATTTCGTCAGTTCTAAACCTTATCAGTGGATATTTTTTTATTAAAGAAAATGAAGAAAATATTGACAAAAAAGATCCTTTAATGACGTTTAAATCCTTTACGCTTGAATAATTTCTACAGTATCTTTTTTGTAAAAATTGTATTTGATCGAATAGATGTTAATTAAGCTTAACGCACCAAGGCGAGAAAAAACAAGTTATCCTAAGCAATGATGGCTCAACAGCTGACAAAAATGATTCTGGCAAAGCATTTTTGACTATCCAAGCTTTTCAGGAATTCCTTATTCTTCAGAGATAAATGAGATAGTTATTTCACTCTTCATCCATGATCAATGGAGCCACATAAAATTTTCACAAAATTTAATCTATACTACGAAAAAATTTTAGCCTTAAATACGAAAAATATTACAGAAATAAAGGAAAATCTGAAATATTAAGAGTGAAATAAATATGAGGATCAGTGAATCGCTATTCATTAATCACAAATTTTTTTAGCAAAAGAAAGTGAAAAAAGTTATAAAATTCTTTGTCAAAATTTGTTTATAATTTTAAGAAAAATTTCGAGAATTTATATTAACTTATCCTGCTGCCTTATGATACTTTGTAGATAAGCAAAAAATCATTTATCTTTTTCGAAAGAAGATTTGATCAATGATATATAAGGTTTGATAATGCAATCACTTTATGATTATGGTTTCAAAAAGAAAAAAAGAATCAATTTAATATGGATTTACCAATATTCTTAAATATCCATAAAGAGAGGAGAAGAAGAGCTAAATTTTATGGCATTTCATCAACAATATCAAAATCAAAAATAATGAGTCCTAGGAACATGTCACAGAAATTTTTTTAAAAATTTATTATAAGAATTATTAAGAGCATTTCAGGAGCACTTTTTTAAAAAATGCGCAAAAGCTTTTATAATTCATTTATATAATAAATTCACATAATTTTGATAAGGGTTTTCTGAAAACTTAAAGCAATAATTATCGAGGAAAATGAAAAATGCTGCAGAGGTCTGTTTGCCCTGGGAAACGAAACGCTTCACTGTTAATCGAGTGTAACAAATGTGTGTTGTGTTTTGAGTTATGAAATGTGTTTTCCTCTTGAATATTATCATCGCCTTTGTACTGATCGCTTTTCATCAACTTATCACCACAGTTATCCCACCTTATTTCAATTGTTTTATTTCTAATTTTCTATTCCTTTCATTCAAGTCGTACGAGAGAGTAAGAATTATTAAGAGAATTTCAATGGAATCGCAATGATAAATAAAAGAGCGCAGTTAATGATTAGTCTGGACAATCAGTTCCTAAAGATCGCCACAGCAGTCAAATAATATTTACCAATATTCTTAAATATGCCTATGGAATATCCATAAAGAGAGGAGAAGAAGAGCTAAATTTTATGGCATTTCATCAAAAATAATGAGTCCTAGGAATATGTCACAGAAATTTTTTTAAAATTTTATTATAATAATTATTAAGAGCATTTACAGAAAAATAATATAATATTTGCATCAAACATGAAACAGAAAAAAATTTTGCAAAATAAGATTGAAGAGTGAATTTCTTAAACAGCTTCTATCGATCAATGAATACTGAAAAAAACTGAAAGAAAAGAAAATTGAGTAATTCATGAATATCTCAATCGTTTATTGTCGAATGCTTTATGAAACCTCGTTTTGTCAAAATATCACGCAAGCAGAAATTTTTTTCTAACGGTTATCTCCATTTCTGCTTTGGCTAACCTGCCACTGGCAATTAGGATCCTTCGCCAGAGAATGAAAATAAGGACAGAAATACAGGTGGGCCTCCAAATTTACTACTTGTAATGACGGCTTTTCAGATAAATCGAAGCTTACTTTAACCATCGAAATAATATACCATTCTAGTAACTTATTCAATAAATAAATATAAGTTACACATACTTACGAAGTTTGCTAATTCACAAACTTACTAAGTAACGGAATTTGACTACTTTTCTTTTAAACATTTATTTATAATTTAACTAAATTTTAACAAAATTAAGCGGTTACTTTTCGAGATCAAAAAAATTACAAAAATTTCTAGTTGATTAATTCATATCAATCAAAAAAACTTCTACCACAGCAGCCGCTCGCTTTCAGTTGTCGGTAAATGTGGACATTCTTTTTTTGCAGCCTGATTGATGATAGAATCCCGTTAGTTGTAATCGTCTTGCTAATTTCTAGTCTATCCGAGCACTTGCACTTGCATTATACGTTCAATGTTAAAACTCAGTAGTTCACTTTTAATGTTTTTCATTTGATTTAATTTTTCAGTTTTTTTTGGCTCATACTTTATTATAACTTATATCTTTTTATATCTTTTTTATTAATTGATGCTTGGTTAATTTTCGTTTCAAAAAGTTATTTTCACCAAAGTGACCACTGCTGCAAAAAATTTATTCAAAGTTGAATTGCAAAATAAATAAATAAATACAAGCAGTTCTGCAACATCTAAACGGGTTTCCAGATCATCTAAACTCAGCCTTGCGAAAACTCTCCGAGTAAATAAGAGATTCACCAGTAGAAATAAAAGGATTTCTTGCAAATACACTTAAACATATCTATATTGAAAAAGATAATATGAAAAAAATCGTTTGAAGGAATATGATGCCAAGGAAATTTATTTTGATTGATGGATGTAAGGAGAAAAAAAATAATTTTTACAAAAGTTTTATAAAAGCATTCCATTGTTTTGAAAACTACGATATGGAACAAATTTCCATATGAAAATTTTGAAAAAAATCTGACAATTCTGGAACAATTTCAGAAACAAATTCTACCATAATGGAAATAAAATTTTACACGACTTAACATATGCCTTCAACTTTAGAAATAGATATATACGAAATTCTTATTCTTTATTTCTTATATAATATTTTAAAAGCAAATAACTAATAAAATAACGAGTAATAAATTGCTCCATTACTTAATGACTCAAGAGATTGATCAGACTTGCTGTATTAGCAAAATTTCGCCCGAGAAGTATGGATCTAATGGCGTTACCATCCGAATTATAGATTATAGATTTTATAAAGTATTAATTAAAATAATAAAAATTGTTCAGTAGAACAACTTTAATTTAATAAACTAAATTTTCTGAATAACCAATGATTTATTTTTTATAGGCAATGGGGCTTTTCGTTTACTGATTAAATGAAATAACAATGACGTTTTGAAAAATTCATGGAATGAACCAACTTGGTGTGGTTGGAAAGAATAAGAATTTCGTTTTAATTTCTATTTAATATATTAAAAACAAAAAGTCGAAAAAATACAAATAAAATAGAAGAAAAATAAATGCAGTGGCGGCAATCTTCTTAGGAAAAATTTAATGGAATATTATGAATTCCATAGATTTCGTATATTCCTGGGATATTGAGCGATCTTACTTTTGTTGTTTATTGTATAGACCAAGGGTGCCCAATTTGCGTCTCCAGAAGCAACAATAATGCAACCAGCCGGAAGCGTGAGAGCTCACTGAAATTCGCAATAATATCATGGAATGAGATAAGGTCGAATACCCCGCTAGTTTATTTTGCATTCTTCTAATTTTAGAAAAAAAATATGTAAAAAATAAGTGAAGCCATTTTCTATATTAACATATTATGTACATATACATATGTAATGTTTTGTGCACGGTCCAAGACAATTCCTCTTCACCTAATGTGACTCAAAGAAGTCAAAAGGCTAGGCAGCCGTATAGATCGACTCGATTATTTATGGTTATTCAGATTCTCAAATTTTCTCAAATCTCAGTTCAAATTTTGCTAATTCGGTTTTTCCAACTTTCAATTCGAGTCAATCAAAGCACCCGATTCATCTGAAAAGCTCTTAAAGCTCAAAAATTTGCGAAATTATCGGCTTGCATTATAATATAATATATTAAATATAAGCTACTTTTTTTTGAATTTTCAAATCATGAATATCAAATATCAAAATAGTTAACTTTTTTATCAAGGGAAATCTACTAATTTTTCGATATGTCCTTTCTTCATTCATTTATCTGCAAAGTTGATATTTTCAAGAAAAATTTTCATTGCGCTTTATTGCATGATATTTTTAGCTTACTTATTGTAAAAAAAAAATAATAATAAAATGATATGCAAAAAGTCCAGTGAAATATTAATTAAATATTTAATAACATAATGATATAACCTAATAATAATGAGTGGCACTAGAATATTAATGCAATTAAATAAAAAACTAATTAAAAGAATAATCAGTAAAAATGAAAAATTGTACTGAATATTGTTCTGGCATCAATAAATAAAATTAGTTCAACAAGTGAGTTATTCCTATAGTCAAATGTAGATTTTTATAATTTTTAGGAATAGATAAGCCAAATTGATCTCAATAATTTTTTTAATTTCGTGATAAGGATTATAAAAGTACAGATAAGTTTTTTAACCATTATACTGTTGAGAAGAAAAATCCTTACGAAATAAAGAAAAAGGAAATAGCTGACTGGCGTTCGCGATCACTTATATTTCTATTGCTAAGTAGCTCTCTGGCAAGGATTTTAAACCATATTAATAGTTAACAGATGAAGCTACTGGTAACTGTGAACGCCTCCTACTCACTCACTAAAGAAAATTGTAAATAAAGATAAAATTTTAGAAGCCATGAAGATTGCTTATCGAGATATGCTTTGCTGTGAAATGAACGCTAGAAAATACTGAATCGATTTCTTCGAATTTATTTAGCTTTTTTAATAATTAATGTGTTGTAAAACTCGCAAAATGGGAAGGATAAAAATTATATAATTTTCTATATAATCGGCTAACACCAATTCATTGATTCCTGACTCTTGAGAGAGTAAATTTGCTTTTAACTGAGAGACAATAAATGGGTGAGGGGCCAAACGCTTCTGTTCTCAAGTGCTCTTATGGCAAAGTAGTTTCATTCTAATATCCTTAAGCTAGCCAAAAATTATGTTGGGTAATGATAACATTTTCAACACACAATTTCTGTTGATATAGTAATTTACTAATTATTCGAAAGAGAATTGCGGTGCTTTACGCGATATACGCATAAAAAACTAATTCCATTGAATTATTGAATGTAGATGTATTGCGCAGCAAATTTCTTATCCATTTTTTCTCTTTTTTAAGCCTTGAAATATCGTCTCATTTGTTGTTGATTATCTGCTATAACGTCAGATTTTTTTTTCAGAAAACTTTGCATTCGAAAAACTGAAGAAAAATTTCTATAAAATGGCAACCAAATATTTTTTGCAAAAATATAATATAATCTTTTATATTATTTTTGGAACCGAAAAAGTTAATGCATCGTAATAAAAACCTACGTAAGGAATTTTTTAAACAAAAATAAGAATTTTTAAAAAAAAATAAAATTCTTAAATAAAGGTCTAAGCTTAAGCCGATAATAAAGTACTGGAACTCTAACTTATCATTGTCCTAATTTTATATTTCATAGTTTGTAGCTGCACTTCCGTAATTTTTAGGAACAAACCAAATAACATAGGCAAATCGTCATTTAAATTTATTTAAACAATTTTCTATATGGCAATATTCTAGGATTCTCAAATAAATTTAGGCATGTTTTTTTACATTTTTATCCATTATTGATTAGATTAGCTCCGCTAGCTGTAAATATATTAGAAATTTCTGCCATTTAGCTAGAAGTATTGGAAAGTCACTAGTACCATCCTGAATTTTTAAAAACAGCTTAGCATCGGAAGCAGGGGATTAATTATTGCATTTCAACAACAATCCACCCATTATCCACTATGCTATTGTGTGCTATTTTCCCTTTTTAGTGCATTAAAATGATAAAGGAAGATAAGGAGATTTAGAGGCAGTTGTCAAAAGTAAAAGGGGAAAAAGAGGAGTCATAATAATAATTCGTCCTATTACTTCTGGATGTCGAAGTAAAATATGATGAAAAAAACGAACAACAATGAGGTAATAAATAAAAGTTGCCATCAATTCTTTGCAATATGATATGCTTTTCGCTGAAAACAAAGATCTTAGTTTTAAAAAAACTGAATATTTCAGTTTGACTGGCTTCACTGGATGTTTACTGATAGGTCTGGAGTGCAACCTGGATTTCACTTTTGATGAAAGGACCTATGAAAAAAGAAAAATTGAATATTGTAAAAAAAATTGTGTTTTGTCTTGGTAGAAGTAACAACTCGGTGTTTTTAAGTCATTAACTACCAAATGTGCATCAAAATAGAATGCATCTTTGAAAAATCGTATTTATCCTTAATATAACACAATATTTTCTATTTATTGGAAAAATTATTCTCTTTTTTTAAAATTCTTCATTCTTCATTGACTATTGACATTTACATGAATAAGAGGAACTGCATAAGAAAATATTAGACCATGTGTCAACAACAACTATGAAAATTGGTCTTCAAATCGATAAATAAGGCGAGACTTTTTTCGTCGTAGAAACAGCGATAAGATTGCTATTTCTATAAATTCAACGGTGTGTCTTCAATTGCATCCTCTCTCTAATGGTCAGGCAAACTCCAGTTCGAATAGCTGTAGATAGAAGTACTTTCTGGCATCTGGAGAGTCTTCTTTTTGTTGCGAAATGAACCCCAAAATAAAGGTGCATCTGTAGTATGTCTGTAATATCTAGTATGCAGCTGTAATATAAAAGATGACTGCAAAACATGACCAATGAGAGAGGAGGTGAAGTTATCTACCGTTGACCAATATTGCCTACTTACCAGCCAATTGGACAATAGATAGAGGCATGACTGCATCCAGCTTCCCTCGGATACCATCTGCATTGATAACATCGTGACAAAACATCTCCACTGATTACGCCGCAGGAAGAATTTATATCTTATTATCTAGGCCTTTTTGTGGAATAGCACCGAAAGCGAGGACAACAAATTAGTATTTTGACTGAGACAGTGCGACTGATACAGTTAAAAATTTGAATGCACAATCAACCCTGTAATACCAGTGGAGCGAGTTTAACCAATAATGGTGACTCTTAAAAAAAATAAAGCAGCACAAAAATGAAAATATAAAAAAATTAAACAATTAATTCGAAGTTGATCTTACGTGAAGAATTCAAAATCTCAAAAAAACAAAATACAAGAATGCAGTTTGAAAAGTGCTTTTCAAAAGAATTGATCTTATACGTTCGTCACTGCTTCAATTTTTTGAAGTTCACTGATTCGAGCATCAAAAACGTGAATCGAATCGCTATTTGATCGCCGCTTTGCTGTGAGTATATCAGAAGATAAGATGCCGTTTAATGCAGTCTTCGGAACCTGTTAAACAGTTTTAGTACTTCTAATTGCACCAAAAATCGAAATTAAATAAATACTTTGCGGCCAAAAATGCTTTCTTTAATTTCAGTAAGGGACACAAACTATCGACATTTATACATAGAAAAAAATTGTTTTATGATAGATTCGGAATTAGCTGATAAGCATCGTATAAATTACTATGAAGTTCGACCATAGACAATGAAAATATTTATTACTAATTGTTTTAAAATTGTTTCTGATACTCCACGAGGAAAGCCTGATTTATCCAAACGCTTCGAAGTTTTCAGGGCGGTCAAAGTTCGATTTGATCCTAATAGCTTTCTGAAACCCATATTAACTTAAAGAGATGATTTTCAGGAAAACTGGCGAAAGACAAAAAATAAAAATAACCCGAACCGAGTTGCACGCGCAATTTTTGTAACTTCAAAAGCATTCAGATATGACGTGCTATTGATTTGCAAAAATCGGCAAAATTCATTGACATAAAGATCGAAATCAGGAATAAATTGTATGGAATCACTCATAGATAATTTATCAACGCTCGTTTCGCCACTAATTAATTCATCTAACTGATCAAGTATCTCGTAACCATACGAATTCCATGGGCCCGTCTCAAATTCCATCTAAATTTTTTTTTAATTTTTCGGGAAGTCTAATGTTAATGTTTGAAAATGAAAAGTTGACATTGCTAAACTGTAAAACTATAAAATCTGAACGATGTTGTCATAAACCAATCATTGGCCAGCTAAACTCTCTTCCTTTCATTGACCAGAGTCAGAGACATAGTGGGAGCTGGACTGGTAGAGAACTTGCTGCAGCAAGAGAGAAATGGGAATTCAGAATGCAGATAAACAGGTGAATAAAGATTTATTATGCAGGGGTGGTTGGGATAAAAACTTCCTTACATTTCCATAACTTGCAATAGCTCGTCCTTCGATGATCACTATAAATCTATGCGAAGGTTTATTAAAATGATACAAATGCACACGATCACCTTTTGAGACTAAATTGCCAAATATCCTTGGTGAATACGAGAGATCAACCTAAAAAAAAGTTAAAGCTATATCACCAGCTTATATCAAAAATCATGTTGGTCGGCATCAATGAAAGCGCCATTCATTTATTACATATTACAAAGGACATTTTAGAGGACACGAAAGTACGGCTGTGGTAAGTATACTTGTTTGATATTTCTTCTGAGCAAAGAGGAAAGTGCTCTATGGTCGATATATTCGTCCGCAAATATAGAATGTGATTGTTTTAGCCAATAAATCACCATTCTTTCCATTGCTAATGATAGTTCTTTAGAAAATTCTTCATGTGCGAGAATTTTTGTGATATTTGGATCCTTAAAATAATTGCAGAAATAATTTCTTCAGGGCATCACATATGTGAAAAAATTATCTGAATGAAACGAGAAAATCATATTTTAATATACTTTTTTATAAATTCGCCTTGACCTGTAGACATTATCAGTGATAGCATCACTTTCATCGACTATCTCTGCTTGTAAGATTTCTTCAACAATGTCTTCTAAAGTGACGATGCCCAGTAACTCTCTCCGACGTTCTCCCGTTTTTGGATCATATATGGTATAAACGCTCTCCACAATTGCTAAATGATAATTTCCCTGAAAAGACGAAGTAAATTGAAAGTTCTGAACCTCAACGATGAAGAAAGTCAAGAACTTTGGGTTCCCCTTCTTAAATGGCAATAATTTGACAAGAAATTTTATTTTTATTTTAGTCAATAAAATTTTTAAAGGATTAAAATTTTTAAAATCAACGGAAAACCTCTTTGAACTCTTCAAGCATCGAACGTAGCGAAGACTGATTGTTAACAAATCTTAGCGGATAATTATAAAAATCACAAACTGTTCGAACAGTAAAATTATCGCGGGGGTCTATGAGAGCAAGGTCTTTTATCATCAGTAGTGAAACAATATGATTTCTATCGTCGTCCTTCAATAAATAAAATGAAAATATACATATAATGAAAAAAATATATATAAACTTGCAAACTTATATAATTTACGTTAATTACTTTTTAATGTAATTGAAGCAATCATTTTTCTCCATTCATCATTTTTTTATTTTTAAATTTTTTTTTTGGTATAAATCCAAAATTACTAAACGATAATTTATCAGAATAAGAAAAATCATAAGTCCACCAAGAAGGAAGAATGATGGTCAAATACTAAATGATTACTTTATAAACTGGTATCCTTGAATATCCGCGACGAATTATCGCTGCAATATTAGCAGCATCCAGAGGCATACTTTCTGGTATCATAAAAACATCCTGTAGAAATATGCGAGGTGAAAATGTAAAATTATATTTACTTAAAATAAAATAAAATATATATGAAGAAGGATTTATTTTTAAACAATTGGTGCTTTTAATAGATTTATCGAGCATAAATGACAATAAAATTTTATGAAAGGCTTTTGATCGTATAAGTATTATGATAATAGAGAAAATGATCTCTATACGATTTTCACTTTAAATTATTTTTCTTTACTCTCATAACTTTCAACTCAGAAAGTGTGATTTTATAATTTACTTCAATTTTTGTAAGAACATCGCCAACTGTTTTATCACAGATTTCCATTGCACCAACAGCTATCTTTAAATCATCTGCCAATTCTTCATTTTCGGCGCTTTTTGTCATTTTCATCAAGTTTATTAATCTAATCAAAATGTTGGTCTTAAAATTAAGATATTAAATTTTTCGCATGCATAGGCAAAATTCCACATAATGAAGCACTAACTTGCAACGATCATAGACGGGGGATTCCTCACCTAAGAAAACATCGAGCACTTTGCTTATCGGATATGATAAAGGAAAGGTTAATATCATAAATGTACGCGTTAACCAAATAGTATAAGCACCAACTGCCAAACCTTTTCTGAAATTTAAAAATCTTTTTTTTGTGGTCTAAATATTTATCAACTCAACTTATATGGAGTCGTAATGTAATAAATAAAAAAGGCTCAAACTTGAAAACATACTTAACACAGATGCTTTGAGGAATTATTTCTCCAATAACAACAATACCAAACGATGCTATAATAAATGCATATATCCCGCTCGTCATATCCTCAAATAGTATGGATATTGCAGCGTTCACGACAACATTCATAATAAGAATTGTGCATAAAAGATAATTGCCGGATCGTCGGACCGGTAAAATCGTTTCAGCATACTTTCGTTCCGTTTCCGATCATAAAACAATCAAAAGACCATGAAAACGTCAAATAATTATAAATGAAATAGCTTGATGTGTTGAAGAAAAGAAATTCAATTTAAACGTTAGTGGCAAGGTAACTGCCATCCAGAATCGAGGCTTGGATTCGAATCCACCGACACATCTCGCTTCGTCTGGCAATAATCTCGCGTAAGATGTTTAAATTAATGATTTATTTTTCCGATTCAAGGGAATCAAAAAATGGAAATGTGGGAAAAAAATTCAAATTTAAAATTAAAAATTTAAGATTTACCTGATTTTTGAATAAGTAAAAGTTCTTGAGGAGATAGAGCCATTAAGCCAAGATTTAGACCCGAAAACAGAGCGGACATGCAGAATAATACAAAAATTATGCCTATTTGCAAGTAAATAGGTAAATAATAAATTCTGGTCGGTTTTTCTGTACTGATCCACGTTCTCATTTCATCTAACTGAAATATTGAAATAAGAATATCTATATTAATGCTTCTCATTGAACACGTATATCAAGAAAATTTTTGGCAAAATTAAATCTGATTTATTGGAAGTGGCAGGGACTAGAACAACAACATAATCGCTCCAAAATAAAAGCAATAACCCACTAACTATTCCATAACCAGAAATTGTGAAGGGCTCTTTAAAAAAAAATTTATTGGATGTAAATTCTTTTCAATGCTTTCATCCATGATTCTATCCTCGTAATAATTGAAAAATTGCAAATGTTAGATTACCGACACCACTTATCGATACAAAAACCACATATAGTTGACAGTGGAAGAGAATATTGCTTTTCATGCAGCAAAATGCCCATTTACGTGGAATGGGAATAATATAAAATTTTTTGTAAAAAAAACAATATCGAACCATAATCATATCTTCTTCTTCTTCGCTTGATTCTTTACTGCTAATCCTTTCCTTATAACATATGCGATAAGGTGCATCTGATCTGTATTTCTTTTATATAATTTTTATTTTAATTTTCTAATTCTTCATTTTTTATGAATTTTTTAACAAAAAATGAGATTTACTTACGAGCAAATTTACTTTAGTGATTACTTTATTCGATTTTTTACGTGTTTGGAATAAATGTTATGTTAAATATGTTAAATAATAACTGAAAGTCACGTAAATTTCCATGGATATGAGGTCAATTCAACCAATCTTTCTACTTTTATTTTTATAAATGGAAGTAGATATCTTAATAGATATCTTACTATCGATATATCTTACTTACTATCGATTGGCTTTTTTGAACAATTCGCAGGTTAGATTTTCTCATTTTATAAGATATTTCAATTAGTGTTAAAATTGATGTAAAAATGATATTAAAATTGTTTAATCGAATTTATATAATCGAAGAAAATGAAATTTACTCAGCAAAATGTGCTACAAAATCAATTCGTTTCATTGTCTGAACGATGAATTCAGAATGTGTTATTTGCGAAATTGAATTAAAACAATTATCAGTCGTTAATGAGATAGTTCCAATTCTGTCAAGGTGATAACCAAATAAAACGACTCGTAAAGTCGACTCCGGATAAATTATACTTTCTCCAGCTTCTCTAAATAGAAATTGATAAGTCTTTCATATTTTTTACGCTTCAACATTAAATTTGGTTGAGTGGTTATTTTTCCATATAAAAACTCATCAAGATTCAAAAAATAAGGTTCTCATTCGTCTTTTCAAGGGAAAGAATTAAAGATTAACGATAAATTAGTATTTAAAGATCAATCATTTAATTAATTTAATTAACTATCCTTTTTTCACAAGAATTGAATGTAATTCAAGGAGAAAATAGTAATTTGAATTGAAAACTGAAAAATTTATGTAAAGTCTAGCGAAACACACGAATAGGTTATGAAATCATTTTGATTCGGTAAATTTACAAGTCGTATACCAGAGACGTAAGGCTTCACCTGATATGTTACCATTTCAGCCTCAACATCCTGAAATAGTCCCTTAAATCAAATTTCAGAGATATGAATAACCACCTTCAGTACCTTCAGTTTTTTCAGCAAATTATTAGATTCTACGATACAACCAAGAATTCGGCTCTTTTATTAAAGTGGACCAAGACACTGATTTTGTATCTACTTTCTTAAGAAACTCAAAATCGCCAGCCAAATATTCAAATTTCAATCGATAAATAATTTTTAATGAAGATAACCATAATAGCAGTTTTTAAAACGTCCTTTTGTATTTGATAACGAGAATAAATTCCAAAATTAAACTCAAGACCTTATAATAAATAAAATTCGCAATTTTAGTCATTAATCATAGTTTTAATGATTTAAAAATTATTAATCAATATAGACAAAATCGATCATTAAAAGTATATTTACTTACCCTTATATTTGATATTTTATGAGAATTCATCGGAATAGCAAACCATATTACTAGCATTTCCATCAAACGTAAATACATTATTCCATGTTCAGAATCATACATTTCAATACATTTCGACATATTTTGCCATAAAATAAATCATTTTTATAATATTACAACATGCTTTAAATGATAATGTTACAGAATCTCTTCAGGTGCCATTGATCGGCCACTCAAACGATTAGAATAAATTGGTGGGCGACATCGAAGAAACCTTTCTTTTACTGCAAATTTATGCAACTTTTTGTTTTCATATTTACCTCAATCGTCTCATAAAATTAAAATTTTTTAAAAAATTTAAAATTTGAAATTTTTTGAAAAATTCTAATTGATTTTATTTCATTAAGTTCATCAAACTTCAGCATGATTTTAGTATACACATAGGTACTGTATACAATGCACTTGCAAATATTGTAGAGAAAGCAGTGTTATGGAAAAAATAACAAATCGAAGAGAATTGTCAAAAAAGAATCAGAATCAGAACTAGAAAAAATATTCGATGCATGGTAAAAATAAAAATACATGGACCGTATTTTCCTTGTCAATGATCGACTCGCTTGATATTTATTTTCATTTATTGTTCTTATAACAATACACTTGTGATTCTTTTAAGTGGAATTATTTTGGTACTTTACCTCCATTTCACAGTTTCTCATATGATTTTGGTGGGTATATTGGATATTCGATGATATTCATATTTTCGCCTAAATAAGATGAAAACTATGAATGGGCAGAGGACTTCATTTAAAAGAACTCACCATTTCTTATTTGGCTATGTTCACTGGTTACTAGGTCGAAAATGCTGTGCCACCCAAAATTTCGACTTATAAGTATACTTTCATTGAAAAAATCCCATTTTAACTTAATTGAAGCAACGTAAGCAACTGCTTAATACGTCCCAAGTAAAGCATATACTAAATTTTCAGTTGAAACTTCATTTTCATTACCATTCCAATTACCATTCAAAATAGCAAAATATGATTTTTTGCTGAGCTCTTCTGAGATTTCATAATTGAATAAAACTATTGAGTAGAAAAATCCATAGAAAACAGAAATAAAAAAAATTTATCGTTGAGAAAAAAAAGCAAAAATAATAAAAAATCTCTGTTCATATATTAATAAATATATAACAGCTTTTGAAATAAACCTGAAATTTTTTAAAAAAATTTAATTAGTTTAATTTATTTTAAGATCAAAACTTGATAAAGGTTTTAGAAAAAAAATTCAATGCCAATCAAAGCAATTGCTCTATCAGATAATATAACTTCCACTGATAAAAGTGATAAGTATCACCATTATTATCATCATTATACGCTACTTGAGAATCGATGAAGCGATTCGAGAACAAGAAGAAAACCAATGAAATATTGTTTTGTGTCACTCCAAATTCTGCTGTATTTGTTAAAAACAAGTTTTTATATCGATTGAACAATAAATATTTAATGTTTGTGACCTATCTCAAGTATCTTAAGTATTACACAATAAAAAAAGAACAATATTTTAGGATGGTCTGAAATTCTTGCATTTAATTTTGGAATAACCTCTTCGATAATACTAACTAATTTTACATAAACCATGGATTATATCCTTCCTTTTTTTATTAATAAAATTTTATTCTTAGAAATAGTTTTATAACTTATCTTTTATAACACGAAAAATGGTCAAAGTCGATTTAGATTCTCGCGAATCTCTTTTAAAAAAAAGGTTCATGTACAACCTTTTTTTATGATGCACCCTTTCTACTGGTGATGGTTCATCAATATGAAGTTATCGTTATTATCATTAATTTGAGATCAGTTGGGCATTATCATACGTTCCAAGCAATGAAACAATGAAGTTCCATTGATCTCCATCGTACCTTACTATTAGGTATTATTTCTCGATTTTATTCGTGCACGGTTAGCACGACAGCTTTCAAAAATCTTTTAATTTCCAGAAATAATCCAGCATTTCCACGTCCTACTGTCCAGTCACCTTTTGTTGAGGGCCAATAAAATGCCACTCGGCCATCAGACCACATGAAAATTTTTATCGTTTCCATTCCACCTTGGTATAGTTTACCATTTATTAATGCTCTTTCAATGCTAGTTATACAAAAGGAGTTCGCGAATTTTCGAAAAGTTTGCTAAAAACTTTCAGCATCAGTTCTGGAGTATAAGCTCTGCCTGCCACTCAAATTTTCTTTTCTTTTTCTAGATACTACAACCAGGCATTTCTTTTTTAAAATTATTTAAAATAATAAGATGTTCGAAACGAAATAATCTTACATAAGGCCCTCAAACTTGTGATTATTCCATTAAATAATATTTGCCAGTTTACATTGATGCTGTTATATCCGTATCTGTTATAATAGCGATATGATAAGGAGGGTGGAGTGGTGCATGGTGCATAAAATACGACGTATGCAAACCAAGTAACATGTTTCCCAAATACCTTAAATCTCTCCACTCCTTTCACCTCTACGAACTCTGGTAACTGTCATAAGCTAATGGATTCAACTTGTGCTAGTTATTTAGATTATCTTCATTATCACTTTTTAACACATTGATTAATTCAGATTTATCTTCTGCAATAATTACATTGTTTTTATTGATATTTCTCAGAATCTCAAAATGAAATGTCGAATTCATCTTATTTAATGCTTATATCCATTTTCCGCCAATAAGAAAGGACTAGAAATTAGTCCAAATAAGACTTTCTTGCATACTTCGACATTTTCGTCTTTAAATTTTTCAACCTAAGAACGCATCGCATCTCGATCTTACTATTTCAATTTGATTAAAGTCTTCTCTATAACTTGTAATTACCTCTCATCACGTTTAAGAGAATTATTTTCAGTATTCCTGTCTAATCATTCAACAAGTTCCAACTTTTTAAAAGATCATTGAAGAGAATATTGACCACTTTTTGTATTCCGGTGAAACCTTTATATGGCGCGATTGCTGGGTGGTATGGAGAAAACGGCAGTTTTTCGATTTTATCGGAGTCAAATTTATTTTCTCAATGATATTTCTTCTTAACTGTTGCTTGATCGAAGAGACGTCTAAACGCTTTCCCGATATTGTTCGGGAATTTTGGTTGATTTGTCTTCCATAGTTCTTTCCCTTGGTAGTTTCTTTTCCAATGTTCAACTTTTTATAGAAAAGTAATCTAGTGTTGGATGGCGCTTCTTATTCAATTTAAAAATGCTCTAGGTCTTCATCATTCTTGATCATTCTTGACAATGTTGCTGACCATTACCATCATCGTTGTTGGCTTATTCTACAGAAAAAAACTAGTTCTTTAGGCTCGGCGATTCCTATTTCCAGCATATATTTTCCTTAATGTTTCGAGAAACCGTTCCAATGTGTAGTCTGTATAGAGTTTAATCTTCCTGCTGCAGGACCTTTTGACAAAAATTAAATTATTAAATTAAATTAACTGACAAAAATTACTATATATAAAATATATCACCGGCCAGCGTTCTTCTTATAAATGTCTCACTGCAAATTTTCGAACCCTTAAACTTGGGTAATTAAACCGTTTATTTAATATATAAACATAAAGACATAAGAAGAGAAGAAATGTTAATATTAGAGAAAACATTAGCAAATCCTATAACACTGGAGCAGTATGTACATATTCCCGAATTGTAAATCTTTGGGGATAGGATGGCTCAGTGAGTTGGTGCTTAATTCGGTGCTTCGGAGAGCCAATACCAAGTTCTATTATTCTATTATGCGCAGGAATAAACCTAATCCAAGTGATGCTGACGACTCACCTGTACTTCTATCGACTCCCTGGCATATTTGTCCAGTGCGACAAGCCAGCAGAGCGAGTTTAACCATTAATGGTGAGGACTCTTAAAAAAAAATCTTTGGTAGATAAATGAGGCTAACAGTAGTGCTATGCAATAACGACGGCAATGAATAACTCTATCCAACTCTATCCAACTCCTCTCACATTCCCAGCCCATTTCCCACAACAAACCTAAAATAGCTGAAAATGGTCTCTTGGGAATATATATTCGATTTGAGATGGGCGAATGAAAGATTCATGTTGTCTTCTATTCTCTCAAAATAAAAGCTGTCTTTATTGTACCTTTCATTCATGAGGTACTCTATTATTTCATGATTTTTTCTAATATTTTTTTCAACTCTTTTCTCTTTTCATTTTCCTAATGCTCTTGTCGGAAATAACCGAAAAAATAATAGTAATACGGTGAAAATTCATAAAATATTTAAAAAATTCATAAGAAAAAGGGAAAACAATATTTCTTTAACAAAGCTTGTTCACATTTTAAGCAGTCGACTACTCAATATGCAAATCGCACGAAATAATCTTTCTTCTTTTCTTTGTTCACAAAATTGTCAATCCGTTTGTCAATCCGCAAATTTGTCAATCATCTTATTTACATATCAAGAAAACAACTTTGAGAAAATTTGCTCTTGGATAAAATAAACTAATTTTTATGTAATTATTTATCGACCAATGCGATTGTAAGCCCAACCCATATGGGCATTGTATGGGTCAGCCCAGCAGGAGCCATGGGGGAAAATCGCTTTTTTGGAGGA